TTTCCCTATGCACAAATCGGCAAATTGCGCCTCTTAGATAAAATAGAAAGGGACTTTTGATCATTAACTGTAAATTGTGTTTTGCATTCAGCGTTGTTCATCATTGATGAACGACCGGCATTGAATAGATATGGACATCCTCCTTTTATAGGCTACAAAATTTTTAATATTACACTCCTTCGAAGTTAAATTTCGTAATTTAACAGACAAGTATTTCAACAAATGCTCAAAATGACGTATATACGCCGTTTCCTGTGTGAGAACTGAATTGTTTCCAAAGTATACAAATCTGTATTACTTTGACAACTAGCCCCTGTGGCCTAATGGATAAGGCATCGGTCTCCTAAACCGGGGATTGTGGGTTCGAGTCCCACCAGGGGTACTTAATTTTTTTTTATTCCCTTCAATCAAATAATAATTATACATATTTATAATGTTATAATATAGGTTATTTATGATAATTACAATTGATACATTAAAATAAATTAACTTTATTCCTCCAGAGTAGTATCAGGTCAATAATAGAAATGATATATTTGTTTATTTCCCTCTTCGTTCTTGCTTTCCATAATGTATTAAGTTATTTGTTTTGCATAAAAATGTCAAAACATCTCATAAAAATTTTTAAAAAATTTCCAACGTTTCATTACAATCTGCTATTTCTAATAACAACACATAATTTGCAGGTTCAAAGATATGTATATTTACAAATATTATTATACTATAGAAATAAATTAAATCATAAGGTACAAGGGTAGGAGTATTCACTCCTGGAACAAAATATTCAGAACCAATGGGATAATACAATGAGGTCCACACAATCGAAAGATGTACTCAATTCAACTTGACTAAAGGGTGCAAAAGCAAAAACATAGCTATCATAGAAATGATGAGTGGTGGAGTGAGTGCGGTGTTCAGTCCTTTTTAAAAAGATAGTTCCTACTCACAGTACTGTCAGTAGGAACTTTCTTCTTTCTTTTTAAAAAAGATTGAACATAGCTATCATGTCAGATGGTCAAGCAGCCATCAAAGCACTAAGCTCTAACATCATTAGTTCAAAGACGGTGTTGAACTGCAAAACCAAATTAAATATATTAGGTATACATAACAAAGTCAGCCTCTGCAGGGTCCCAGGACATGTGGGAGTAGAAGGCAACGAGAAATTGGACACCTTTGCAAGAAAAGGGGCTGCTATATTGCTATAGGACCCAAACCCTTCTGTGGCATAGGAACCCACGCTATCAATAAATACCTCAGACAGAAGGATAAAAAGAAAATGAGGGAACAATAGTATTTAACTCATTAGACACAAACAAACCAAGAACCTTCTAACAAATTTCGGAAGGGAAGAAGTGACGGAATGTATCAAAGGAAGCAGGAAAAAACTGTGAATCTTAACAGGATTCTTAACAGAACACTGAAAACTAAATGGACATTTAAAGAAGATTGGTATAACCCAAGACAGCACATGCTAATTCTGCAAAGAAGCAGAGGAGACATCAACACATCTATTAACAATCTGTGGCGTCATTTCCTCGCAGGAGGAAGTGCTTTGGGATGTACAATGTGACTGTAGAATAAATTCAACCACCGAAATAGGACTCACTAGTGTGTTATCGGCGCAGAAAGGGGGACACAATAGCTCTTAAAAAGTGCAGTATATACACCACGATAATACATCTTCATGTCCATAATTAAATTAATTATTATAATTAAAAATTACAATAATTTAATTATTATAATTTAAAGATTACAATAATTATATAAATATTATTATATTATATTCTTCTCCCACTTCACTTCACTAGATAAATTTCACTGCTTACTCCTCAGAAAGGAGGTCACGAGGCCATTTCCTCTTGAGACGACTTATGGGATTGTAGGGATGGATTGGATACGGCTTGGTCAAGACTATTGGGGTTATGAGAGTGATTGTTGTGGAACTTTGTATATTTTTGGATAATTAATTGTTGGATAAATGAAATTTTAAGAGCATTGTGGGGGGTAACATTTGAGATGCACTACGGAACATTTGTAGTTGATTTAGGGACTTTAGTTTGAAAGAATTGGAGACTTTTGATATTGGAAGATTCAGTCGTTTCCCACAATTCTATATTGTATGCTCAAATCAATTTTTTTCTGATAGGTAGTTTATTATTATCACAATTTACATTGTTTACAATGTCATTTTATATGCTTTTGATTATATCTATAAATTCTTGCTTGATATATATTGGATTTTGGATCACTATTTTCTTTTCCTCAGCTATAAATTTTTAATTAAGTTTTTTTTTAATTTGCCAGATAACGTGTTATAAAGTTTCTGCGAAAAGACACAGGACTATGTTTTTGTTTTTTGTATGGCGGTATTACAATGTCTTCTGCAGCACTTGCATTTAACTTTGTTTTATCACAGACTTGCTTAAAATTATTTATATTTTCTTATACATATTTTAGACTTAAATAAATGTTCAAGGCACGTACCATCATCACATTAAACTGTTTTAAAAGCGTTTGCAGCTTTCTATTTGCTCTACACCAAATATTAATTTTAATGTTTTTTTCTGTATTTTTAAGATTTTTAAACCAAATGTCTCAATCCCCCCCCCAAAAAAAAAATCGAACACTACAATTCGCTATTCCTTTAAACATTATAGAATTTTGAGAACCCATATATCAATTTCTTCTATCAATTTATAAGTGAAATAATCTATAGATGATAATTTACTACATACATTATAAATATGGTCATGCCAACGTAATCTATCTATTAAAAAAAACCTAGGTTAGATAGGAGTACTTTATTTATTTATTTTAATGTACAATTAATGTACAGGGCTTTGTACCTTCTTACATGTACTTATATTAGAAATAAATTAAATTTGATAAACATAATAAAATAATAATAGCAATAATGATAATGAATGAAAAGCTGAAAGAAAAAAAAGGAAATGGTTAAAAGAAAAGGAAAAGGGAAGAAAAGGAGATGATTCATGTCATTTTTAAAAACTCAGATGCCATGGACCTGAAACAAGCCAGTGAGGAAGCAGAACATACTTCCCGGGAAAGCAAATTCCATAGTCTTGACCCTGCAATTCTGAAGGATAAGGCTAAATATTTAGAAGAGTGTTGGAGGCTTGGAATTTGATTGGTGCTTTTGGATAAGGAATGAGGAAAATAGTTGGTAGATATTGAGAATGTTTATTTGATTTAATTTTAAATATATATATTAAAACTCTGAATTTGTAAGTGTTTAGAATGTTAAGGTTGCTGAAGGCATTAATATAAGATGAAATATGATCTCTTGGTTTAAGATTATAACAGTATCTAATGCAGAAATAATAAGCAATTTGAAGACAATGAGCAGACCAAGAATCTAAGGAAAGTAAAAAAATAGCACTAAAGTAAGAGAATAAAGGAATTATTACAGATTTAATAAGGAGAACTCTAGTTTTCTGTGCAGTGAAAAAGCTGAGGTGTCAAAAAGAATGGAGGCTTGAGTAGATCTTTTTGATAATAGAGCTCACATGTTCATGCCATGTATAGTTAAAAATAACGTAGAGAATTAAGACAAAAATTAACAAGGGGGTCATTGATATAGGAGAGGATAGGCAATCTGTACTAAGGGTAATTATTGGGTATTAATTGGAAATTAATAAGGACTGGGATTTGTTAGGATTTAAAAGAATGTTGTTATTACTTGACCTTCGGCTGAGAGAATGAAGATCTCGGTTGAACAGAGAGATAGTTTCAGAGAGGTTGCTTGTAGGATACTGAATGTAAAACTGAGTGTCATCAGCATAAAAATGAAATTGGTAGAAATTAAGAACTAATGGAAGATCATTTAGAAACATGGAAAAGAGTATAGGTCCAAGAATAGAGCTTTGGAATACACCAGCTAAAATTGAGAAAGAAGAGGACATAGAAATTGAAGCCTTAACTCTCTGAGTTTGTCATACATATAGAAATAAATGAGATTAGAAGCAGTAAAAAAAAAAGAAATGAGTCAATTTCCAAATAAGCAAATTATGATTTAGGAACCAATTCCAAATGCATTGGAAAAATCAAGTGTAGCAATAATAGTACACTTACTATCATCAATGCCTAGGTGAATATCATCTGAGAAAGGTTGAATCTTTAGAAAGGTTTAGCAGTTCCCCACACTATTCCATATTGTCTAAATTTTTTTTTTTATTAACTGCTTCTAATCTCATTTATTTCTATGTTGTTGTTCCAAACATGGTCAAACACTTGTACCAGGTCAAGAAAGGCTCCCGTTAGTTTCTTAAGACCTTTTTTTAATTATGATTAATGTAGTTATTATAGCAATCCACTTAAGTTAGTTTAATTTATCAACATTTTCTTTAGCTTTAATTAAAATCACTACCATTTTACTTTTCAAGATACTGATGATAGTAATAAATGATCATTTTAGTTCCTTTTTCAATTATTTATATTATTTATCCCTTTCATGTTCTAGTTCTAGCTTATGATTACTAATTTATTATTATACATATGGAAAAACCTTTCTTCTCAGCATTTCTTTCAGATAATTTAACAATATTTCATTGACTTATTATATAAAATTACTTCTGGGTCCAGGTAAGCCCACTTGCAACCGATGAAAATCTAGATGTGGGTACTTCTATTTAAGGTAGCGTCCTTTCCAAATACCTATGGTGGGTGATTCTCGAGGCCTGCCAGTAATTTTTGCAAATTACAGAAGCTGAAATTGCTGGTGGAAATATAAGCTCAGCTCGTCACCTGTATGTATATGTACAACCGTGTGCAGAAGTGAGTTTATCTAAATTAGTAGTGTCTTTAAAAAAGTAAATCTAACAAGTTTATTACATCTAATGAAATGTTCTAACAGAATATATAACTACAATATTTCAAATGTATTTTTGAGTTTTAAAAGCAAATAAAAATAAAATACTATTACTAATTCAAAAATAACAAATTAAGATTTGTAATAATGATTTATTTATATGATAAAACCACACATTGGTACAAACTACAATTTGCAACAGCAACAAACCCTCAGGGTGCCGGTGTTTTTGAAAAAAAAAATTGTAAGTATGTCAGGTTCAAATGCAAGGCTGCTGGATTTGAACCAGAGACCTTAACCTTACAGTGATGAGTACCTAAACCGTTGCTGCCACCAATGCCCCCCAAACTACAACTTGAAAATGGTTCATTAAAAATATAATAATAATAACTTGCATTACAGATTATTCCAAGCTTTCACTATTATCATCATTCAAATTTAATTTGTCTTTATACATAGCAATCAGATTTTCTTGAACAGCGAGCTTTCGTTTGTACATGTTAATCTGCCTTTGTGTGCGTGAACAACTTAGTTTCCCAGCAGTATAAAAAAATAGATCTGGAACCTGAAATTAATGAAAATACAGAGAATAGAATTTAAAGAAATTTGTTGTTTTATTGACCTCCTGTCCTATAGCCCAAAAGTCTTGCTCATTAAAGCCTTCAGCTGGAAGCTTTTCTGCCTTGATCATGTCTTGTTCTAAGCTTGATTCAAGCTAAAATTAATATAATAAGTATATAATAATGCATTAGTGTTTGTAATTTATTATTTTCAATACCATCGATTTTCTATGTTTGTACGAGGAAATGTTTTTTTTTAAACTATCCAGTTCATTTTGCAACCCAGCTAACATCTGTTTTCTCTCGTTTAACTCTTTTGAACATTGCTCAATCTTTTTGTTGTATTGATCTAAAATGATTGAATATAATTTAAACCTACTAAATTAAGATAAATACATACCAAGAAGGTTCTTCACTTGTAAAAACTCATTCGCTTTCTCATTAATCTGAGCTTTTATCTGTTCAGACTCAATCCCCTTGATTTCAAGATCAACTTTGTGTCTCGGTTTTTCTTTATACAATTGCTTTAGCAGCTTACAATGGCCTTCAAGTTCGTACAGCATAACTTTCATTCTTCTAATGTCCTCTTTATCTTGCTTTATAGCAAGTCGTAAAAAACTGGCCATAAGATCATAGGAAAATAAATTCTTTAAAATTACTCCTTTAATTTAAAAAAAATATATATATATATTTACTCAGCAAAATTTGATGGATTCACCACAGTCTTGTTGTCCTTAGTTTTTACAATGAACATCTCAAAGGTTTCTCTTGTCTTATTTATTTTTTCTAAATGCAATTCGTGTGCCTTCTGCTCTGCTAACACCTGATTGAGTTTCTTTTCATGTTTCTCAGTATCCTTTTGATATGCATTGTGCATATCTTTAATCTCTTGTTCTATTGCTTTTATATAAAACTGCAAATTGCTTCTAAAAATATAAACTTTCTATTTAAATGATTGTAGAATTTATGAATCTTTCCATTCAAAACTTGTCCTAACTTACACATCCGATGCTTCTAAATTCAATAAATTTTTGCCTGAGGCATTTTTTCTATCTTTCCTATGGGCTAACTCATTGCTTGAAAATTTAATCGGTTTTGAAGGTTGTAATTTGAGCAATAGTTCATCATCTTTAAATTCATCTAAAAAATAGACACCAAACCTTCACAAACATGTTGGTTAAAATATAGCATTATTACCTGGGTTAAAACTTGGACAGTTTTTAAGCAAGAAGTGTTCGAATATTTCATTTTCCAATTCAAGAATTATAAAATCTCTGATATGGGTGTCCAGCAAGTTTACTAATTCTTGTTTGGAGTAATCTGTAAAATACCGGATGATGGATGTAATAATGCAAATAAAAGCTCAACTAAACACTAACTTTCTAAATTTTCTTCTTTGCTCTTGGCCAGGAATTTTCCCAATGGGGTCTTTGACGATTTAGGTAGCTTGATAGTGTCACGCATAAAAAACTCAAACACATCTTTTAAATCAGATTTCTCAGAGTTGATAATTTCTTGAATAGTATCCATTAAAATTAGGCAGACTTGTTTACAAAACACCATGGGAGTCGGGTTGCTAAACAAATAATAAATCAATAAAGAAATTCATTTTTATTGTTGGTTACAATTGGTTATCTATTTTCTTTTCCTATTACATTATCAATTATTTTATTTGTACTGTCTAAAACTGTTTTGTACTGAGCCGACGATTCCTCTAACTGGCCCAGCACACTCACTGCCTTCTTCACATCTTGGCAGAACTTCTTCCATTGTTTATTTGTGAGACTTTTAGACTTTGCATTCGCTCTGTCTGCGACCCTTTTTTCTTTTTCAGATTGGAGGAAATCCAAAAAGTCTTGGGTGTTCTTACAGGTATTATCTTCTAGGCATTCTTGGAGGACAAAAAATTAACATGAAAAGATGTATAGAAAATATTAACGCTATTGATTTAATGAATTTGCAAACCTCCAACATCTTCGTTGAAAAATAAACAGCTAGTCACATTTTCAATCTCAGTTTTCGCTGGTTCAGACTTTGTTGACTCTTCAGAAGTCAGGTTAGTTGCTATGTCTAAAGCAGCAGGTCTAGAAGTTTAAGAGACAAAAATAATTCAAGAAAAAGCATAAAGGGGTAACTGGTTGTGAGTACTGAGTATTATAAAATTGGTAGAGATTATAAATGATGGGGTGAGTGTGGAGTTCAATCCTTTTTAAAAAAGATGGTTCCTACTCACATTAAGTTGTTTCGCAACAATACGGATTTCGAGCCCTTCAACCTGACGATGAGCTAAAGGGCTCGAAATCCGGATTGTTGCAAAACAACTTAATGTGAGTAGGAACCATCTTTTTTAAAAAGGATTATAAAATTGGGTCTTATAAGTTTTCTATATAAAATAAAACTATTCCTTATTTTACTTTTTGCATTATAACCTCAAATAAAGTAACAAAGCATTAAAAAGAATATAAATTATTCATATACACATATTTACCATAAAACATACTACATAATATAGTCTCATGGATTAAGGCTGTGGGCAACTCAATAATTTTTTTTTTAAGTAATAATTTGTGATATTTGTAGACCCTAATCTATGAGACTGGTATCATAAAAAAAGGCTGGTCGATCGCATAGAAGATACTACAAAACTTACTGTTGTATAGTTTGCAACTCCTGTGGATTACCAAGCCACCTGACCAGATCTTTGTGGATTTTATGACCAACCGGTAACCATTTATCGCCAACAAATTTCAATTCAGGGAGAAAATCAATTAAAACGCTATTCCATTCAGAAATTTTTGTAATAATTTGTTTTGAAAGTTTCCTAAAATCCAAACCACACAGATAATTAAGTTTTGAATGGATTAAACAGAGAGATAAAATGAAAGTAACAAACCATAATTTACTCATAATGGCAACAACTATTGCAGCAACATTCCAATGAAAGCCGGAATAGAATCGTTCTTTAAAGAAAAAAGCTGATTTTATTATGAGAGTGTAAATTCTGTACAATAGTGCTGAGTTCCGTTGAAAATTAATTGAAAGCCACTGGACCATTTGCTTACTTGGGCCTTTATCATCCCGTGCACAGAATTGCACTTGCCTTATGTTTTCAACAAATGCCTGAGTGTCATAATTCAACAATGCTTTGTTTAACTAAAAAACAAATCATATTTAACATGTTAACAAATCAAAGTCTAATTCGATACTGTACCATCTGCATCAGTTTGAAACCTTTGTCATTGCGAAAAACCTTTTTCATCCTATAAGCCAACCTTTTTAGATAAGCACGATGTTTTTGAATTTGCAGATTGTACTTTGTTAAAGTTGAGATAATATTCAAAAGAAATTGTGACAGTGCACCACTAGTTTTATCTGATGAGAGAATATAGACAAAATATTATTTCTCATGCATTAACACAATTGTTAACAGAAACTTACAAGGCTCATTAGAAGTCAGTTTAACAGAAATCATCTCAGGGGAAGGAAGATCTTTTCTATTCCAAAAAGGAATAAATAAATTTGGATCCATATCTGAAAAAATTACAAAATGGATATATTAAATTAATCCAACGAAGTGATGAACCTATAGTTTGAAATTTTCTGATCGTCCTCAACTACCTTCTTTAACTTTCCGTCTATTTAGACATGATTTAATGTTTGGCCATGTTCCGTGACCAGTTTTTCTTGCGATATACGCCTGACAAGCAAATCCAGTCACTATAGTCTGACCAGGATGGTCAGGCTACGAAAACACAAAAATAACAAACAACTTTTAATTCAATTTAATATTTTGAAATGAAAAGAAAGAGGCAATGTTGTTGGGTTGGATCAGCAGAGTAGCTTTCATGTATCACGAGTACTGTCGTTAAGTGGCCCTGACTGTTAGAAGAGTCATCCCCATCTGATTAATAATAATAGGCCGAGGTTGGCACATGGACTCATACTTTTGAGCCAAAGACCATCCAGATCATGTTCGGCATGTAGAGAAAGGTTGCTCAATGTGTCCCATCTAGTTCAAGTCAATTTAATATGAAAATTGTGCTTGATCATGTCAGCAAGTATCTGAGTTCTCATAATTGGAGGAAACAGGGTTGTTTTATTGTGTATAGTAATAATATTTTAGTGGCCCTCTAGTGGATGTTGAGAGTGTATTTATTTATTAGTGTGAATGTGTAATGGGAGGGGGTTGATGGAGGAATATTGATTACTCCACCATAATTGAGCGAATGGTAGCTAAATAGGAAAAAATTAATTAAGAGTGTGTGAGTGTGAATGGGAAACTGTGTTGGGAGCTGAAATGACCTAGCTGTTGGCAGCCACTGGTGGCTGAACGGATAAGACTGAGGTTTGATCCTGGACTCAACACCCAGAATGGATGATTCTTGAGGCCTGCTGGTAATTTACTGCAAATTATAAAAGTTTGAATTGCCGGTGGACTGTGAGAAGTGATAGGCTCATCATAATTAATATATAATAATGTCTCAATTATTTATTTTTTTTTGTTTATGTAAGGTCTTGGTCGAGACGAAAAAGTTAGTGTCACGACGGGGTTCGAATCCTGCTTGTGACACTAACTTTTTCATCTCAATCAAGACCTTACATAAAAAGAATAATTAATTGAAATAAGTAATTTGGTCAATTAGACCACTTAAAATTAATGAATTAATATAATAATATTTTGAAATTACCACTATTTATAATTTATGAAGCTAAGCCAAACAATATCATGTGGAGCTTCGTTGACAACTAAACCTTTTTTTAATTATTACAACAGAATACAGAACATTAAAAATAAAAATTAAAAAAATAGAAATTTTAGGAATTAAGTTAATAATTGTTTGACACACAACAATCAAATTTGACAGCTACAAATTCTTAAGTATGAATAAAAGTTAATTATTACTACCTGTAAATTAAATAGAAAATAAAGTATTTTAAGTGCATATTTCATTTTCTATTACTTTTTTGTTCAACCAAATTTTATAGAAAAGATTATAGAAAATGATTGGATTTTGTGTAGAGACTAGGCAGAAAACTGATTAAAAAATACATAGAAGGGCAAAGGATGTAGACTCGACTCCCATTACAAACTGGTGGTATGAACCGCTCAAAGAAACCCTACATGTGTACATGGCTGGATATCAAAACGGACAGGCGTAAACAATTACAAAAATTTTTCAGCATAACGCTACAATTACAGATGACTCATGTACTCGGTTTTTCTCTCGATAAACACTTCCGCTAAAACCACTGTATGTCATTACCCTTAGAGGCTAAAACGACCCTATGTCGGTTCAGCATGAGTTCACCGACTCGCAGACCAACACCAAGCATCAACTCTTAAAATGACCTTTCTTTTTATAGCACCAGGATTTCAACAAGAGATCTAAACTTCTAAACAATACAGGAGAAAGTTATTCAACAATGAGAATAATTACGATACTAACTGTAATGATTGAACACTTAATGCAAATTTATATTATTCTCAAATAATAAAATTAAAAGGAAGGTAAAGCAGTCTAACCTTTGAATTAATTTATAAAATTGCGCCTCGATTAACAAAAGAATTAAATCAACACTAATTCAGGAAACAGATCAAGAGACAGTACCCACATGGGATTCTGTTTGATACCTTCCTGATTCCTGTTCAAAAGAGCCTTTGTCCTAGTGGACAGGCTGAGAAACAAATCAAGAGAATTTCTATTTGACTTTACTATCCCTTAAACAAAAGACATATTTAACAAAGAAATTGTATAAAATTTCCATAATTTATGCAATGTGATATTTGACAAAATGAAAAAAATTAACGGCTTAAGCCTTTTAAATAAATAAAAAAGAAAAAATCAGTCAGGTTTCTAATACAAACTAACAACATAAGTTGAGTACAAACTAACAACATATAAAACAAAACATAAGTTGAGTACAAATAATAAATTGAACAATAGTACAATGAACGAAAGTGCAAACAAAATTGCTAAATGAGAGGAACAATATTATAGACAAAAATCTAAAGAAAATTTAAAATTTAGCATTAAACAACATGTTTTAAAATATTGAAAAAAGTATGAAAAATATCAATACCAGGTAGTTATTAGATATTCTTTGAATTCTGTCTATTCGATTATGATAAGTGAAATTAGTTCTGTGACAATGCATGAAGAAAAAATTTAGATTTCTAAAATTATAACTGCATGGAATGTTAATATTAATTTTCTATGGTAATTCTGGACAATCTCTATAAAATTCTGTAATAATTGTATAAGAAAATAATGCCACTTCTATCTCTTCTAGAAGCTAGGGTTTTTAAATTGTAAAGGGAATGTATTGATTTATAATCTATTTTAGAATTGCAATTTTCCAGATTTCCACTTTTAAATATATATATATTTAAAGAATTCATGTTGAGTTTTTTCCAGAGAATTTTTGAGAATAATTAAGAGACCAAACTGTTGAGCAATTTCTAAAAGGGACTAAATTGATGCACAATGAGAAATTTTTCTAGCGTTTGGTCTTAAATAGTCTAATTGTTATGATTATACTGTTTAAGACTGGGTTTGTCTTGTTTTAGAATAGTGTTCACTTGTTTAGTCACCACAAAAGAAAATATTCAAGTAATTCAATAGAAAATGTAAGGCAACAATTTATTCGCACTCTCTGGCTTAAATTTCCAGAGCATACTTGGATACACTGTATGAACTTATGGAATCCCCAGAAAATGCAACGAATGAACATAAGCCAACAAAATAATGATTTGCTATTTTCTTACAAACTCTTAAATACTGTCCACGATTAATCAATCAATTTGCTAAATTTCCAAGTCCCACAATTCCAGATAAAAATTATTATTTACAATTTTATTACAAATTATTTAAAATTTATTCAAATTCCCCAACTCATGGAAATGAGTAATAATAAACTTCCTTCACACTGTGTGATTTTTTAATCTTTTAATTCTATTAAACATTTTTAAAAAATATTGTTCATTTCATCAATTGCATTTGATTTGTTTATATATTTCTGTTGTTTACTTAAATTTTTATCATTCCTTCTCACTTCCTTTATATTGGTTTATATATTTCAATTGTTTTCATTAAATTTTTATCATTCTTCCTCACTTTCTTTATATTTGTTTATACATTTCTGTGTCATTAATTTTTTATCATTCTTTCTAATTTCATATATATTTGTTTATATATTTTAGTTGTTTAATTAAATTTGTATCCTTTTTTCTCACTTCCTTTATATTGGTTTATATGTTTTAGTTGTTTAATTCAATTTTTATTCTTCTTTCTCACTTCTTTATATTTGTTTATATATTTCTATTGTTTAATTAAATTTTTATCATTCATTCTCACTTCCTTTATACTTTTTTATATATTATTGTTGTTTTCATTAAATTTTTAATATTCTTTCTCACTTCTTTTATAGGCAGGTGTATTATGTCACAATACTTATATTTTATTTGTGTTATTTATTTATTTATTTATTTACAGATCGATATCCACTATAAAAAGACATTTTACAATAACAAAAAATAGAAATAATATAAAAAAAATCTATGCAAATATACAAATAATAATATATAAAAAGAATAAGGACATATATACATGGTAATATTATAAATGGTAAATATAAATGATAAATATAAAAATACAATTAGAGAGTAAAAACTGAACAACAACAAAAATGAAAGACATAATTACTAACCAAATTAAGGCAAAGAAAAACAAAATAAAGCTGAAAGACAATTGAAACTACAATATTTAAGTACATATTTAATGAAAATAATGCTCATTGTAGATACACAATAAGGCTAGAATGCAAGATTTAGATGAACCAGTAATTGAAATGAATTGTAATAAATTTTTAACAGTATGAAATACAAAAGCATTTAAAAAGAATATAAACTGGTAAGAAAATGCAACTAAAGTAGGGTTGTAGGATATGGTTTTTCACAGACTGCACAGAACTATTGAAGAAGTCAATGCTATTGCAGTTATGTTGAATATGAATTATTGTTATATTTATTATTATTTATTTCAATTATTCATTAGTACTTATGTATAGTTATACTATTATAGAACTTGTAACTGGGGTATATTTAACGGTAAAGTTTTACTATTTCTTAAAAAATAAATAAATAAAAATAAGAATGTAAATAATAATTCCATTGTATTATAAGAATATGAATAAATAAGTTTAGTTATCAAAAGGGGCAGAGAGGCTGAGTTAAGGGAATTCTTGATGTTTACTCCATTTAACCTGGTGGCTAACCACATTCTTCATTTAACCTCATTGTGAAATCCATGTGTATCGACTATCGAGTTGTTGACGGTTGTTTTCTCGGCTAACCTGGAATCTAACAGGCCAAAAAAATAAGCAAGATGAAAAGTAAACCAAAGGAAATCGTTATCCTGGCAGCCCAGGAGATATCCTTCGCCAGGGCTTTGGCCAGCAACGACACGAACATGAGAGAAAGAGCTCTAAAAAAACTCAAGAAATGGCTAACCTCACGGTCGGAAAGAAAACAGGGTAAATTTCATTAATTTCGCCTTTTATTTAGTATTATTTTATATACTCAAAGACAAAAACATGCACTTGTATTTATATGTTTATTTTCCATAATAACTTTCTATAAAGATATAACATCAATACCTTCTTGTTTACTTTATAGTGTTTTGACACTTTTTGATTAAAAAGAAAAAAATCAGTTCAATTGATCCTTTCCAGAGGCAACTAGTCCAGTTAATTGGTTTAGGTTTTAACTCTCCAACGCCCATGGTCAAAATAAAGTTTTGCTAGTATTTTTTCATATTTTCTATTCCTTTGGCACTCTAATAGTACAGTAAATGAATAGTTTTGCAATAATACTACACTGATGGCCACAACAAGCTCTCATTCCAACCTCATTCAGGTAGTCATCCACAATATGTGCTCTATGGAGCCTGGCATTATCCTGCATTAGCAATAATCTCACCAATGTGGAGGGCAAATGGCACTACATGCTCTTCAAAGTTGGGGAGCTTCGCACAACATCTAATTCGGTGCAGGCCAAGGAAATGCCACCCCAGAACATCAATGTCCCGCCATGGAATGACGCTTGAAGAACCATACATCATGGGGTGTACCTTTCTCCTGAGCATCTCCATCTGAAGATTTAAGGTCTACTCTCACCTCATCAATAAAGAGAACTCTTCCCCAATCGCCTGCTGCCCAATTCACACGTCCCGTACGAATTGAAGCCTGTCGACTTTCTGTTGTAAGAAGTCCACGAACTGACGAACTGGCCGGGTCCTGAGGTTATTTTCATTGAGGTTTCTTCTTACAGTTTTGGATAAAATTGAAACATTTCTGACGTCTTATAAGATTTATCTCATTTCCCTTAATGCTGTGGTTTCGAAGAGCCTGATGACTGATGAATATATCATCTATCTCATCTGTAGACCTAGGTTGACCCTTCTAGTGTGAAGCACTGTTTCTCTCCAGATCGGCAGTATCACAAGTATCAAAATTAAGGATTCAGCCTCAAATCTCTTCCTACTTGTTACCAGAATCTGCATAAGCTGAACCTATGCTTATTTCTTTCAAGATGGTTCAATGGGCAATGATAAGTTAGGCTTATGGCCTATTACTTACTCAGTTAAATTACTCAGTTTCAGCCTGCCAGTTTTAAACTTTGCATTTTAGTCCAGTATGACATTCTATTTTGTATATTGGTCCAGTTCCACTTTCTTTATACTATGTGACAGTTCAGACTTTTTGAACAAGTAGAATCAAAAAGTTTTGAGGTATATAAAAAGGCACGTTGTGTTTAAAAGAAAGTGGTTTTGATTTAACCAATTATACACAGTCTGTGAGGCGTAAAGACTTACTGAAGTCCCATTTGGAAGCATTGATCTCATTTGGCCCAAAATTCAACTTATCAAGTTTTGCCCTGAGGGTGCAGAATGTGGTTGATGGTAAAGTTCATTCGTTTTGATCTTCTCATCTCCACTCAGGTCAATATAATGAGTTGACATGCTAACAAGTCGGCCACCATGGTACCCTACAAGTAAACTAAAGGAAAATTAATTTGAATCATATTTGTTGTTTATAAATATTTTATACAATGTTTGAATAATTATAACAATTTATGTTTTTCCCAGAATTCACCGAAGAAGGATTTATGAGAATATGCAAAGGTCTCTTTTACTGCATTTATATGTCTGATAAGCCTCTTCCTCAAGTAAGGACTATCGACACAAAGTTAAATTCACTTTGCTAACGCAATTTTTAATTTTGACAGGAAGATTGTGTCGAGGCTGTAAGCCATTTGGTTCACTGTTTTAAAACATTTGACGAATCGCTCATGTTTATAAGATGCTTTTTCCAGTCCGTATCGCACAGTTGGTTTGGCCTTGATGGCCACCGAATGGACAAATATTTAATGGTAGATAACAAGTTAAAATCATCAGAGAATACTTTGTTTTTACTTCTTTCATTGCCATTTTACAGTTGGTCCGTCGATTTTTAAGACAGACATTTGAATGTGTGTACAAGTTAGACTGGGAGAAAGAAAAAGTGGAAAGACTGTCGAAAGAATTGTCGACTTCTTTTTCTATGGCACCTCTAGGCTTGTTACTTCATCTCACCGACATCTACATGGAAGAATTGGCAAAGGTTTGTAAATCATTTAATTCAGTTTCAGAATTTTTTGGGTGAAGTTAATTTTCAAAGTTTAAGTTGATAGAAGCATATTAATCATTATAGTAAATTATACTAAATTACCTTTGATTAATTTATAATTTAATAATTTTTATTGTTTCAAAGGTTGGAAGGGGGGAATTGAAACCAGAAACTACCTTAGAATTGATAAAACCATTTGTTGAAGTCATGTCTAAGAGTACTGACAGCAGACTTCTACTTCAAATAACAAATAACATATTTTTATATCTGTTACGTCAATCAGAAGAAGGGGTAAAACACTCCATAAAATTCCAAGCATGGAAGCAGGTAAAATATATTAAATACATAGTAAAATTTATTAAACATATATGATACTAAAGTAAATAAGTAAACTTAGCTCGGTTTTCCTGGAGGGGATATCGACTTGATGGAAGAAGTAGAACAAGATTCTGATCAAGAAATGGAACAAGATATCGAGGAAAGGCAAACTGCGCTCGATGCCAGGGCTGGCAATGTCGATGTAGAACTGCCAGAAATTGCTTTTGATGTCCGGTCAATTGCAAATTATCTCAATAGTATAAAACAGAACAAAGGCATCACTACAAAATTTAGAAAGCAGATAAATCACATTGTGAACAAGTACGTCAATCATTTTTTTTTTTTTTTAAATACACTTTTTGTTTATTGCCCTTGCTTTTAGATATTCAAAGTTTTCATCAGGAAAGTATCCGCTTGGACTTCACAAATATGAACTTGTTGAGAATGATGATGACGATGAAATAGTTGAGGAAGCAGCTGAAAAGCTACTACAGTTCGAAGACGAGAGTATAGATAGTTTCAAGAGGAATAAAAAAAGACAGAAAGCCAGTGAATGGGAGGTGTCATTGATGGAGACAGAAATTGAAGTGCCTAGTGAACCGCCATCATTGAATGGTAGCTGGGTGGTAAGCGATTCCCTTAACAAAGAAGAAAGGAAAGTTTCTAAAAAAACACAAAAAAGCATAAAAGTTACAGAAGATTCTAGCTTATTAAAAAAAGACCAAGCAGTGGTTGAAAATGGTTTAAAAAATGAAGAATCGTCTAGTAAAAGAGCAAAGAAAAAGAGAGGAAATTCTCAAAATTCAAACGATAAAATGGACAAGACAAATGATTGGGGTGACTGTTCCTGGGATTTTCCAACTGAGAATGAGGTGAGATGTCATAGTAAAAATCATTTAAAAAATCCCTCTTGTAATTAAATTGTGTTTTCAGTCCGAAATAGTAATTCAGCCCAAAAGGAAAAAACAAGCCCAAACAAAGACTCCCAAAACACCAAATTCTATGAAAATATTGACTACAAACGTGACTTCTTTAAAGGTATAGAATATTAAAATTGTAAGACCACTAGTTATTTACAATTCGGTTGTTGTTTTTAGGAAATGACTCCTGGAAGTGCGAAAAAAGTGGAATTTGTTCTAAATAAAAATACATCTCAAGGTAATACATTTTAGTATATGTTTTTATTGTTACAAAGGGTGATTACATTAAAATATCAAAGATATCTTTGTCACCAAGACTTCTAGAAATTTAATATATTGCTGAACCTAATCTGTGCTTCAGTAATAAGTGTTGAAAGTTGAGTTTAGTTTTTAGTGTTCAGTTTATTGTTTTTATTTCAGAGGAAAGAGAATACATGAAAACAATCAAGAAGAAACCATCAATACCTTTTGACGCAAATAAGAAGCCGACCCAAGGTGTTTTGAAATCCACACCATATCAAAGTCCAGTGAACCCTTTCTACAAATTTTATAAAACTAAGACAAAAAGTTAAAGTCAAAAAGCAATAATATATTATGAATTTGTATCCAACTGTACAAATAAATTTATTTTAACTTCTATGATTCATTGTTTGTTTCTCCCAGGCTACTAATATGAAAAATAAATCATATGTTTTGACTTTGTCTTGTATTTATTTGGGTGTTATCTTTCAATTATATTCAATAATAGCAAGCCCAAAACTACGATGGAGGGTAATTTTAACATGGACAAGGTGTCATCCAATCGGGAGCTAAAGGTATGTTGATACAATAATCGTGTAAGATCACTCCCTTAATTTTTGGTGCTTCTGATAGTAAAAACTTTGTCACACACTAAAAAATAAATAAAGCCAATTTATATATTGGGTAAAGAGAAATTTATTTATTTGTATTCATATTTGCTTTCTAGAGCTCGGAGCAATTGAAGAAGCACTCTGTAGATTCTGTCTTAGAAGGAAAGGTTATTGATAGGGCCTTACACATTTTTGCGTAAGTAAAAATTATACAATCTTCAATATTATGGCAAATGAAATAAAATGAATAACCTTAATCAAACTTTTTTAACCAATTTGGAAATTGACTCCAAACTAATTCGGTACAATTTTTGGTATATATTTTTTTTTTCTTTTCAATTTTTATTAGAATCAACAACTGTCTAATTCAATCCAACAAATATTCTGCCTTGGCAGAAAAATAATTATCAAAATTAATAGTATAGTGAGTAATAATTAATTTTTTCTTCCTTATTTTGTTTAAAAATAATGAAACAGTTGATGACACTAAAACCTGAGTCGATTGTATTATATGTCTATTATAGATTTCTTAATTTTATAAACAATTCTGATTATGAAAAGTGTTATGAAAAAATCCTGGAATTTTAGTAACAGGAAAAATTAGTTATAAATAAGAACTTTTGAGCAGTTTGCATGTAAGTGCTGAAATTTCAAATTTTACATAGATTTTTGTAGCATTTTTTATTTCATCTTTTCATCACACTTTTCAAAAATAGCGTTGTTGGTAGTTTAAAATTGGTCATGTCTTAATAATTTTTATTTGTCCCCCAGGTAACAGTGTGGCGCAATTGAAGACTGGCAATTAAATAGATATTTGCAAACTTGCTGGATATATATAGTTGTTTTTATAAATAAAGCTTATTTCTTAAAATGCTACTAAATTTCTAGTGTAAAATTTGAATTTTATGCAAGTTCTGAACTTTACGTGTGTACGATTTTTAAAGCCAAATAGACAAGTTCCTTTATTTATTATGAAAATAGTTTTAAAATCTATTAAGATCCACTATCTGGGGCATAAAAAAAGCAATAAACTCTAATTAAATTGAAGATGATTAGAAAGAGGTCAACTGATATACTAGACTATAACACCAGCTTTCATGCCATCATGATGATGACATAATATACGTTGAAAACTTGGCATAACTATAGTCTAGAGCCTTTGATCCTCTGCAACTTAATTAGTAATTGTAATGGTGGTGGGGGGGCATTGAAATATAATTATGATAATTCTTTCCTTCACTGTGACCAATTGTGCTCTATTGTGGAGGATTCTCGGTATTCTCCTTTTAAACTATAGCCGTACTTGGAAAGTGTGCTATATATTTCCTACTTTCTCTCAGTATCATCTGGTGTACCCCAAGGCTCAATTTTTGGACCTTTACGCTTTTCCGGGTAACTAAATGATCTTCCATTTGTTCTTAATTTCTATAAATTTCATCTATGCTGAAGACACTCAGCTTTACATCCAATGTCCTACAAGCAGCATTCCCGAAACTATCTCTCTGCTCAACCGTGATGTTTATTCTCTCAAACGGTCAAGTGATAACAGCATTCCTTATTAATTTCTAAAACAACCCATTACATATCTCCTCCTCATATCAACAGCTTCCCTATTAATTTTTGTCCTAAAGTTAAAAATCCCAATGTTATTTCTAACTCCAATGGCATAACATATGAATTTTACTATTAAAAAGAACTGCTCAAGCCTCCATTCTCTTCAAAGTTTTAGATTTTTCACTCCACAGAAAACTTTGAGTTCTCCTTGTTAAAGCCTTATTAATTCCTTTATTCTATTACTGTAGTGCTACTTTTTTTTACTTATCTTAAGACTCTCAATCTGCTCATTTTGTCTTCAAATTGCTTATCATTCCTACATTAGAAACTGTTATGATCTTAAACCAACATAAGCTAATAATATATAATAATGTGTGGTGTTTAGTGGCTGTAGATCATGATCTGTAAATAATATATAATAGGTTCAATTAATTATATTTTTTATCTAAAGTCTTGGTTGAGACGAAAAAGTTATCATAAGAGGGATCGTGTAAATGATATTGCTGAATCATTATTCCTATGAAATATGTTATAATTGCAAGTATTTCATGATACCTTGCATTCAGTTAAAATGAAATTAAAATATATACATGTCAGTGTTCTTAAGCCATTGCTTTTGTTATTATTATTTAATTACTCAATTGTTTTCTTTTTGTTATGTGCTATTTTTGACTACTTCTCATGTAGATTCACTCTGTTGCAAGTATAAGTAAATAAATTATTATTTTACGTTATAAAACTAAATTTATTGCTAAAATATGTACATGTAAGGCAGCTTAAAGCCATAGTTGATACTCAATAAAATAAAGTAAATAAATAATAAAATGATACATAGTAGGTTTGAATTTAAACGGATATGATTAAAGGATTTAATCAGAGTTTTTTTTTCTTTGTTTTGTAAAAATTGGCAAAGATGGTTTTTCCATTCCATCATCAGTCCACCAGATTTTGGAGTTGGTGGTGTGAGGTCGGGTCATGGGCTGTGATTCACCATCCTACCGTTATTTAGTAACCTTCATGTTAAGAGGAAAAATGTCCTAATCTTAAATCCTGCAAGATAAACAATTTTCCTTTTTTTCTTTTTAACGAGAGTTTGCCGATTTTTGGGGCTTTAGGCCAGTTTCTTTCTGATAATTATGCCGGATAGTTATAAAAAGTCAACTGTCGATAACTATTGTTAAAATGGTCTTGAGCCTCTCCTTTATCAACGGTATGTAGGACAATAATATTATTTATACCTGAAAAACTCCAGATTTTAAAAATGTCTTGAACATAATTTCTCACCTTTTGTAAAACTTTATGAAAATAACATGACCAGGAAAGCAAGCATGCTATTTTTAGGGACTCACAGAAAGCCTCATAAAACAGTGATATTTTTTCTTTTTAACATTAACTATGCCTCATCACTAATAACCTGATTGCTAAAAGTACAAAAATGATCAAAAACGTTTGGTCTGTATGCTAGATCAGCATGACGATGAAATGCCGTTTGGTGGAACGCTGTCATTTACAAGAATAAGAACTGGCTGTCTGGAATTCTTTCATAAAAAATATTTGTTTAATTACATTTAGCATTAATTACATTAAGATTAAATTTAAATTAAGTCTGGTATTTATTAGTTGTCTCATTCTCCGTCTTCTGTTTAGGTATTGTTCTAAGTATCTGCCTTGAGAAATCTGTTACTCATTAATGCACAGTGTATGAAAGAAGTGTTATGTTTTCCTCTTTGTTCTCATTCCATAAAGAATGTAATGGGTTTTTTACTTTTTAATTAAATTCAAACAGATAAATTTTTAACAAGTTTTTATTTTTAATAAATGATCTCATTTTAACCAACTTTTGTCATGTAGTGTGCAAATTTTCAATGTCGGATCGATTAAAATCAATCGGTTTTTGAGCAAAATATCTAGAGATGGCATTTTGGGCGTCATCCAAATTTTCAAATTTTTTGCCACTTAGAAAATGTTGTCACAATAAGAATAAATTGAAATCAGATGGTCTGATAATTATGCCGGATAGTACTGAAAAATTGACTGTTGATAATGACCGTAAAAAATGGTCTTGAGCCTCTCCTTATCATTGGTATGTAGGACACAATAATATTACTTATACATGAAAGAGTCTAGATTTTAATAATGTTTTGAACATAATTTCTCATGTTTTGTAAAACTTTTTGAAAATAACATGTCCAGAAAAGCAAGCATGCTATTTTTAGGGTCCCACTGAAAGTCTGATATAACAATGATATTTTTTCTTTTTAACATTAACTATGCCTCATTACTATTAGCCTGATTGCTAGAAATTCAGAAATGATCAAAAACATTTGGTCCCCTTGAAGTGCCCTATGGTGGAATGCTGTCATTTATATAAGATAAGAACTAACTGCCTGGAGTTCTTTCATAAAAAATATAATTACATTAAGCATTAATTAATGTAATTAAAATTAAGTGATGGTTACTAGTTGTCTCATTCTCGTCTTCTATCTTCATATAGTTGTAAGTGTCTAATTTGAGAAATCTGTAGCTCTGTGTCATTAATGCACAGTGTAGGCAGGAAGTGTTATTATGTCTTCCTCTTTGTTCTCATTCCGGATTTGCCCTCCAATTTATTTTATGGGGGCGGGGACCGCAATGTAATTTTGTTTTTCCTTTTACATTAAATTCAAGCAGATAAATTTTTAACAATTTTTTATTTTTAATCAATGATCACCTTTGTTTTAACCAATCATTTTCAATACCGGATCGATAAAAATCAATTAGTTTTTGAGCAAAATATCAAGAAATGGCATTTTGGACATCATCCAAATTTTCAAATTTCTTGCCACTTAGAAAATTGTAATAAATAGAAATCAGATGGCGCAGTATCGTGCGAGTATGGAGGGTGAGGCAATACCTAGCTATACTGTGTGGCAATTCATTCATAAAGAGCCACTGCCTTATGCGTTTTGGATTATCATAGGTAACCCATTTTTCATCTCCAGTGATCAAGCGATCAAAAAACACTTCTGCACTTGTGAATAAGTTGCATATGACAGACTGATTAGCTTTGTTTTCTTTACAACTTCTCTTCTGCTTACTTTACCAATCTCGCTGCAAATGTTCTTGGATGGTCGACCAAGGTTGGCTAAGATTGTTTGACAGTTCCTCAATTGTCTGACATGGATTTACTTCCACTTCTGCCCTTAACATGTTATTGTCTAAAGTAGTTGTCTTCCTGATCAATATGAGTCGAAAAGATCCAAATACCGGATTTAAACTTAGAAAACCACCTTTGGCATTTACGATTGTCTAATGCTCGTGGATAAAAATTGCAAATGTTTTTTGTAGCAACTGTTGTTTGACTACCCTAGTGAAACACAAAAAGCCACACAATGCCAGATATGTACCTCTTCTGGTATTTGGCTGGCCATAACACCAGAAATTGTAAAATACGAGTAAACAAGTCATTCTAACTTTAAAATGGGTTTCATGACTTTGAAGTACACAATGAGCTGATAAATGACAAACGAACATTGACATGGGCAGAAATGACATTTCTTCTTTTTAAAAAGATAGTTCCTACCAGTAAGCCCCCCCCCCCCAGTATAAGCTCAAAGGGTTCTTGCATTGTTGAGGTTGTTTGGATAGATTCGAGTTGGAAATCATATGCATACATGGTAACAATGGTATCGGGATGTATATACAAGTCAGCAGTATAAATGGTTAAAGTGTGGGACCAAGAATGCTTCCTTGAGGCATGCCAGCTCATATTGGTGTAATATCCAACTATTACATGTCACACCTCTATATAAAGCAGTTTTTTTTCTTCACCATCAACCATCAGCCCTTGCATTAATCACACATAATTTTAATTATTTACAAATTCCTCAACTTTTTTTTTTTAAGTAAATACTTGCAATAGTTATAATTTTTATTTTTGGGAACTGGATATTTTTAAAGAAAAATATAAGATATAGTTAAATAAAAAATTAAACTGAGTAAAACAGTTTTACCAAAAATTTTGATGTGGAAAATAAACAATGGAGAAAATATTCAATTCCATTTGGAGTATTTCCACCAATTGCGTTGATCACCGGTTGCATCAATGTGGCATTAATTTTATGAGGGTTTGAATGTAGTGCTGTGGAATATTTTCATACTCCTTCAACTGTGCCATTCTTGATTCTCTGACATCACCAGGCGGATTTTTCCTCTCGTTGACAACTTGTCCCAAAAGTGTTTGATAAGTTTTTAAATTGTAGGTAATTTAATTTGTTCAAGGTTGATTTAACGAGGGTTCATAACAGCAGAGGTCATAGAAACCATAAAAATTGTATGTATGTTGGGTTCAAATTCGAACCCAGGACTTTTACCTTACAGTGATGAGCCCCGTGTCAATGTTTTAACTGTTGCGGCCACTGACGCCCCAACTAGGGTTTTAGTCGGGACTACATGCTAGCTACTCAAAACATTAAATTGAAGCCTGTTCAAAGTCCTAGCTGTGTGGGGCCTTGCTTTGTCATGCTTAAAAATAAATTTGATTGTGGTAGTTCTGTCTGAAGAGCGAGATGTCCAAGCTTTCTCTGCCTCGCCTACAAATTCATTACTATCCATCCTAAAGTACCCAGATACATACTATCAGTTTTCTGAGATGCCCAACTCTGCATATGTTACCAACCAAGAATCTGGATTGCCGGTAACAGGCTCTGGGAGTTGGTACAAACGAGGTAGGCAGAAGCTCCATCATCTCGAAATGACTGCACCCCAAGTGTGTGCCATTTCACAAAACGTTCTGCCATGCATATACTGTAGTGCCAAGGGAGCGGGGTACTCTCTAAAGAACGAGATTTAATGGCTTTTCTAAACTGTGTTTGTATGCCAATATAATTTTGTCTAATTTTTCTTTTTATAATTCATAATTTAAAGCAGTGTTCAGTTGCCTTGTGTATGATTTTTCAGCTATTTGGTAAAAATGTATGTACTTATAATGTTCAGTGCTCAAACAGTTGTGCTGGAATTAATTCTCTTTTATTTAGTTGGGATGGTTAAGATCCACTTACTATCCACAATGACCTTAATATTCCCTTCGTCGGAGAATTTCCATTTCTGCTTCTTCAAGTTTTACTCTAATCTTTCAACCCATCCTAACCCTCCTGTTCAGCCCTCTCCACTACTTCCCATCCTAAGAACCGTCCAACACACAACAATGCAATTTAACAATTTATAATGTGTATAATTCATGTACAGGATATAAATTTAAAAAAATTGCATGCCTACATTATTCTAAATATTAAAAAAAAATTGTACACGAATTTACATACATTATACATATTCGTCATCACTTAACACAATGTTTGTAAACCCAGGCATGGGTTGAGGAAGGTGAAAACGGGGAATAAGGGAAAAGTTGTTTTTCTGACCCACATCCCCTTCTTACGAATTCAACCGCATTATAAGTTTATTGTTCTCTTTAAAAGTGTCAGCTTTTTCCAAACTGAATGGAATTCCTTACTACAATTACTTTTCTCCAATTTAAAATTGTAAACAGAATTACTATGGTAAGATCTATATTAAACAAAGACTTATAACTCGTTAGGTTTGAAAGTTTTTGTTCTTAATATTGAGTTTGCATTATTGTTTTTATTTGTCATTAGTGGAGTTGTAATATTTTAAGTATGTTTAAAGAAATATTTACAAATCTAGTTAATGGTAATGGGAGTCGAACAACGTGTCAGGATGCTGAGTCATGTGGTGGAATTTGCAATGATGTAAAGCACTGAAGTGTCATAAGTAATTTGTATTTGAAATGCTCAACAAATGTAAGCTTTTTCTAATATTGTTATAATTTATCTACATTTTCACATTGACATCTAAGAAAATTTGGGACATGCTATTTTTAGGATCTTCCTTTGGTAAAAATCCATGTTTTCCAAAAAATTGTTTCCCTTTATCAAAAACTTGCCTAATTTTTATTGTTTACCTCTTGGCTCAATCAAAAGGATCATTAAAAATTATAGTTATAATGATTAACAATGAAGAAGAAAAAATTATACAATTACACAAAATGCCCAGTCATGTATGTCAACATGTCAAGATGATGTGTCATGTGGAATTTGCCATGATGTCATGCACTGAAATGTCAAGTAATTTCAGTCTAAAATATCATCATACACACAATTTCCACTAAGTATTTGTATACATAATTAATATAAAAAGCAACAAATAATAAAAAGAGTAAAGTAATTCCTGTCGTAATGTCCAACCCATTGTGTCGTGGACATGGGGTCAAATCACTTTACAATACTTCTTTCATACTCCATTAAAAAGTTATGGGCTGTGCCGGGATTCGAACCCAGGTCCATTAGCATGGCAAATACGAATCAAACACCTTGACCATTCAGTCACTGCAGTCCTGAAATAACAACTATGATTAACTTAGGTCAAACCTTTGGTGTGCAAATTTTTTGCTAATTCCAAGTTTATATTATATGCTTTATCAATGCACATTTGTAGTTAAGTTGGGCTATTTGAAGTATACTCAGAGGGACTTGGCATGTAAAGTTTATTTATGTGCTAAATGAACACAAGATGTACCGTATGATGTAATTTGCCATGAAATCAAGCACTAGAATGTCATCATAACCATTGTCAATATGTTGAGTTTGTCTTATCAAAAGTCAACATTTCATTCTCAAATGAACTGATGATGTTGTAATTGAATGACTAAACTTCTTGCCCAAGAGTTTGTTTTAATTGTTCAAATTCTAGGTTATATAGCACAGTAATGAAAATCACATATTTAACAATAATACTCTTAATATAGACTTTTAACAGCTTGGTGGATAGTTTCTGAGCAACGTTTTCTTGTTAAAGTGTTGGGGAAGAAGTTCAGAGACTAAGCATTGTACAATCCATTCCTGAGTTATTGGTCGAAGATCAAGTAGGATGTATGCAATCAATAGTGCCAAAAATGCAGCAGGTGAGTTTAACTGTGTCTTATGATACATTTATCTTATAAACTTCTGGTTAATTTTTTCTCTCTCCAGTCTTTGGTAGGTGGAAGTACCGAGTACCAGGTAGTTGCAAGCCGAACTGTCCTTACTATACTGAAGGACCGTCTCATTCCGATGGACAGTTTTGTAAACACATTTTTGCCAACTATCCTAAGTTCAATGGACAACAGAGATTTGAGTTAGTACTTTTTTGTTTGTAACTATTTTGATAATTTTTTTACTTATTTATATAAAAATTTTCCTCGATACAGTTGTCGTAAACGCATGGACAGAAACATTATTAGAAGCTATCAAACTGTTACCACTTGATGTCCTTCGACGTCAGGTAAGTTTAATGCTTTCTAAGCTTTTTAAACTAAGCATTTTCTGAATTAATTCTTAGTTGAATTTATTTTAGATTGGCCCCGTAGCAGTGTCCAGATCTCAGATGGGCCGATCTGTAAACGTCCGCATTTCTAGTTGCCATCTATTGGGAGAAATGGCACTGAGATACGACGTATCAAAGTATGTGTTCGCATTTTGTGTGGATTAAAATTTCTATGACAATGTGGTGTTGCAGCTTGAAGAAAGAACTACTTCCGACGATAATATCGCTTTGTCAAGACGTTGATGGTGATGTCAGAGCTACAATATGTCGCCAGCTTCAGAAAGTCCTCCCTCAACTGAGACACGAACCAAACAAAACAACAGTTCTTAGTTCTCTAATTGAACTCGCAGCGGATGAACTTCTGAAGGTGCGAGAATCGGCATTTATCACTGTCACTGAAGTCTTAAATGTAGTTGGTATCGGTATGTATCATTTTCAATAATTATGTACAAAATTTGCAAGTAAAACTCATACAATAGAATAATTGTGTTTTTTCAGACGTTGTTAAATCTACTATGGTTCCTCTTATTAAGCAGCTGGTAAATTATGGCTTTAAAATAGACGATAATCTTATTCCTGCTATTTCAGAATATTTTGGAAAAATGTGTCTTGGAATTGACAGTATGTTGGTTGGAAACATAAGAATTCATTTAATTAATTAATTACCACAAGATTGTTTTCAGAGGCCTTAGGTCAGGATAAGGAGTTGTTCGTTAAATATTTCGTAGTTTTGGGAGCAATAGGCATGTCTCACAGTAAGAAGGTTGAAAGATCTCCACTCGATGGTCTTGTGCAGGTATGAAAAATGTCGTTCGCTTTATTCTTATCCAAACTAATATTAAAAAAAGAAAATAATAATTTCAGCTCAACCTCTCAAGCCTAACACCTGAGAAATTTGTCATATGCAGGAAGAACTGTGCCATGAACTTGCCAGCAATGTGCAAATTTGCATATGATGAGAACAGTTCTACCTTTGTGGAAATGATTCATGTAATCTTGTCTGATCTGACAACTGATCCTTATTATATGGTCAGGAAAACGATCGCCCAGGGGATGGGTGAAGTATGTACGACTTCTAATTCATATATTGAAAAAAAAACTATTTGTTTATTTATTTACTTTTTTTTGTGCATAGATTTGTATAAATCTTGGTAAATACAACTATTTACTCAAGCATGATTTCCTACAGTTGATGTATGATGAAGGTGATGAAGTCCTTGAAGCTTTTGTACCTAACATCAACATCATTATAGATAATTTTATTAAAACTGGAGTGTACAAAACTGAGGCGACTACAAAAGTAAGTAATCAATGTTCTTAATTTTTCTTTTTTTTCTTAAATACCATTGGTGTATGTAAGAAATAATAGAATAATGTTTATTAGACCAATTAAAAGGTTAATTTATCGCTATTCTAATAAAACAAGGTATGTTACCACTCTCGAACTAGTTTTTCTTCATAATTTAATCTTTTGAGTCGTAAGCTTACATTACCTTTTAGATACCACTATTTTTATTTAATTATTATAATTATAATTTTTTATGACAGTATTTCAATTACTAGGTTATATGAACTTTTTTTTTTAAATATGTTCAGTTTGAATCCAGTAGTCCCGAATTCTCGGGACCTTAACCTTACAGTGATGAGTTGTTAATGCCTTAACCGTTGTGGCCACCGATGCTCCGAGCTAAAACTACTATTTTTATTTTTATTGAATCTGAGGGGCCGGATTTCTATGTATTCACTTTTTTTTCTGAGCTTCATATACTTTTTGAAACTTATAAGTTATGTGTGGTGATTAGTGACCGTTAATCGATAATTATTCAGAAATCGTGAGATGCGGTCTGGTGTGATTTAGGTTTCAGAAAAACANAAACAATGTTTGTAAATCCCAGGCCCTGAAGATGATCTAAATAAAGATCAAAATGTTGGCACAATAAAGAAAATGTTTTTCTGAAACCTACATCACACCCGGCCGCATCTCACGATTTCTGAATAATTACTTATAAGTTATTTAGAAGCAAATAAACCTTTTGCAAGAAGTGAATCGCTAACTCACCCCGCCTCATACCATTCTATTCTGCAAATAAATTGTATTTTATTTTATATATTTGTAAATATTTGGAGAATTTTATATATCATTCATATTTTGCCATAATGTACATATTGTTTTCTATATTTAATAAAATCAACAACAAAAATATTGAAAATTTTTAAAAATTAGCAAAAATGTAAGGTTTTAGCTAATTAAAAATTTCAAGATGTAAATTTAACACTAAAAATTTGAGCCCCCCCCCTTGTGGCAGAAACAAATGTACATCTTTCTGTTAGGAATTAAATTTTCCTGGAGGCTCACAACTCATTGCCGTACAGTTGTAAGTTGCCGGACAGTTTAAACAGTTGTTNAAAATGTAAGGTTTTAGCTAATTAAAAATTTCAAGATGTAAACTTAACACTAAAAATTTGAGCACCCCCCCCCCCTTGTGGCAGAAACAAATTTTTCCATATTATTATTTAAATTGTACATATATAAAACATAGTAAAAATAATGAAAAAGCGAAAATAGATCAAATGTAAAATTAAACTATTTTATGCATTATTAATGTTGAAGTGGTTTTTGTTTCAATGCAGTCTGGCATTCTTTGTGAAAATGATTTTCCAAAGTAGCCAGTGCTCAGAACGCATTGACAAAACACTGACCACAGAGCATAACAAACTATAGAAAATTCAAAGAAACTATAGGCTGTAAGGAAGTAAACAACATATGAACATTTAGAGGAATATAACAAAGAAGTGCAAAAAGATGGGAAATGGCTCGTTTCGATTTATATAAAAATAAATATACAAAAAATATTTCAGTTTATCGAGTGTACCAAAGTACACAGAATTTTTTCAGAGACCGGCTAAGGAGTTTGTATTATCATCAAAGTCGAATTATCAAATTCTAAATTAAGAAGAGTCAACTGAATTTTTATATAAAATGCCAAAAGTTAAATCAAAGATCGATGTCATTTTACTTTTGAAAATTTAAAAATTCACGATTATTTGGAGATCGTGAGATGTGGTCTGATGTGATGTAGGTTTAGAAAAACATTTTCTTCATCATGCCAATGTTTCGATCTTTATTTATTAAATTCACTAGGTTTCGTGGTCCGCTTGATCAATTAATATCTTTCAATTAATGTTCAAAGTATGTGTTTGATGAGTAGAAATACTTCGATTAAACCTAAAATTTCTATATGGTGTACATCATTGTATAAATTCATTTTCACATCTTACATTTATTTGTATAATCTAAACAATGTTTGTAAATCTGAGGCCCTGAAAATAATCTAATAATAAAGATTGAAATGGCATGATAAAGAAAATGTTTTTCTAAACCTACATCACATTAGATCGCATATCACGATCTCTAAATAATCATTAACTAATACTCACTAAATACTACACATTAAAAATTCAAATAATTTTGAAGATTAAAGTTTAAAATTTTTATTTGTTCTATTTTCCACAATCCTTAAATACATATGCTTAAAAAAAATCCGCACGTGTTTTGTTGTTCATTTCAAACTGTATGAATTTTTATCATTACATTAATTACAGTGTACTTATTATAATGTAAACCAAATTAAACAAACCAGAAATTCACGATTTTTAATAAAAATATTTAATTATGATGGTTTGAAAGAAAATTGAACGAAACATCTGAAAATAATTTAATGATATATTAAAATTTAACTAGCAATTTATTACCTGGGTTTGCACTTAATAACACATTACAATTATTGGATGCCAGTTTGGTCTTCATGCAGGATACCAGCACTGAATATGTTGAGAAATAGACCTATGATCTTTTTATTTTATTTTTTTCCATTTTTGATAGTGTTTTGATGTTGCATCATTCCAAAATGTTCTATTTAAAACATTCATTATGATTTATGTAATGTCTTCAGGAAACTATAATGGATCTCTCGAAAGCCCTGTTAAAGTGCGAAGGGCTTATTTCATCATGGCACAACTGGAGGCTGTACTCTTCATTCATGGATCAAATTACAATGCTTCACAAAATAAACTCACCAGACAGTCTGTTCAACAACTTTGTGACATTATTGTTCAAAAGACTCCACGGAACTGTAAATTGTTTTATTTATAATTTTCTTTCTTTATTGACTTTCCGTAATAAATTACATTCTTATTACAGAGGGTTGTTCCTATTAGACTCGCGGTTATGAGACTACTTCTAACTTATCTGCGATATTTTCCAAAGGCTCAACAGAAAACCGAAATCAGAAATCGAATTCTTAACGGTTGGTATCACAGAAAATATATTTATGGTCTGTTATACTATTTTAGAAATGATTGCATTTCAGAATTTTGTCAAAGTAACAGTTTTTACAACAGAATGTTCTACATCAGATCATGTTACATTATTTTTGACCTTTTCTCCATGGCTTACTTTAAGGAGCATTTCTTTTTTCGTACTTTGCAATTAGTCGGTCAGTTTTTACTTTACAAGTGTTTTTACCTTAAATAGTTTTTTTCCTTATCGTAATTTTATTTCAAGATGATCCTGTTCCCAATATACGCTGGGCGATGCTCATGATGCTCCCGAGGTTAAAGCAGATGGTGAAGCAGCCTACAGAAAAAAAGATGGCAACGCTTGTGGATAGTGCTTTCTCAAAACTTTCTGAAGACAAGGATAAAGAGATTCAGGGTCAGATTGGAAAAGTTAAAATACAAATGGATACTGTAGATATGAAAGTAAGTCAAGAAAACAATTTGTTTTATACCCAAACCAGTTATTTTTTTGTTCTAAAGTTAGTTAATTGAATACATTTTTATATGCTTTATTATCTAGATATTCCCAAATGATGGGAAAAAATTTGAAGAAGAAAAAAAGTTGCTGTCGAATGAATTGCGCAATGACAAAACTCCACAGTTTGGAGGTATTAAAGCACAATAGCATTAAAGTACAATTCTTAAAATTTACACTGCTTACTATTGCATGTTTTTGTCAGCACAAGCTACACGAGCAGTAGAAACCAAATCAGGGCAAGGGCAAGCACAACCTACTGCGGCTCCTGGTGCAGCTCGTGCACCAGCAGGAACACCTTCAAAAGGCCAACCAAATTGTGAGTTGTACCTTTTTATTTTCATATATCAAGGGTTTTTTAAATACATTAATGTTTTATATTTTGTAGCTTCACCAAGAAAAGGTGCTGCTAATAGCCAGTCTCAGTCTCCATCCTCTAGCAGATCTCCGTCTGTCACTAGTTATAGTTCAACTGGGCGAAGGTAGAACAAAAGAAAATAAATTAACAAAAAAAACCTGTTTTGTTTTATTTGTAATTTTGTCTTAATTTAACTGCAGATTTCATAGCCAACCAATCATGTGTAATAAAATTCATATCGTATTTTATCAAATTCTTAAGATATGCAAGTGGTGTGAATATAATGATCAGAATGATTAGAGATGATCAAGCATAATATTTTAAAATTTGGCCTAATTATAAAAATATTCAGTTTATTTAAAAGTTTTTATTTAGATTTCTTTAAAATACGATTAAATAGTGTAAAAGTAAAATATCACTGCTGACAATATCTAAGATTATTTAAAATTCCAGCATGGAAGATTTTAAAATTGATTGGCTTAAACTTTCTGAATAGTTAATTGTGTAAGAACACATCAAATCTGGGCATTGAAGCTGGTTAGGGCGATGAGATTTATATTAGCACCATTGGCTTGTTTTGCATTTCAGAGAGGCACCTGTATCACTCGACAGCATGGAATTTCTAATCGATGCCGGGGTCAAGATCATCCCGAAACCAAAAACTGCCACTGTCAACATGGGCCAGCATACACCTATTAAAAAACCATCGAGAAGTATCCCTGTGCTACGAGTGCCTAAGAACATTGAAAACAGGAACAGCATTAACAACAACACAAAGTCTGTAGACAAGAGGCACAGTCTTGAAGTCGTCGACCTCAACAAGAATATCCAGAAAGGAAACTGGAATCAAACAACCGAAGGGGGCAGAGTTGTTCGAAAACAGTCACAACTACCGAGACCCCTTTCTTGCATAAATTTCCCGACAAAGATTTCGAGTGTCAGTCCTGGCCCGATTAACAAATTTACAACAAACAGGTAAATTCATTTTACTTATATCACATTTTTTTCTGGAAAATACATAAATAATTTCGACTTTTTTAATATAAACAAATTAGTTTTTTGAACTTTTTAAAGCATTGCTGAAGAACAAGCATTCATTCCATTTGTTTAATTCTTTATTTCCAGGCCACACAATGTAAACAAACAGCTCTGATGATGTTTGCTTCAGAAATATGGATTTATTGAAAAATTAGTATACAAACAGCAGAGAGAAAGAGAGCCTGAAAAAATTCAGTATTATGTACCTGTACAAAACACTTAAACCAAAGGCATGTTAATAATTGTACATCGAAGGGTAATGTGCAATTGTTATTAAAATTAATCAAAATATTAACTATTCATTACTATTCATTCGTTAGGAAGAGTTGAGACTAATATGTTTTATTAACAAGTTATGTTTTGTAAAATTAATAGTTGACAATTAGTTGTGTAAGTGTTTACAAGTTACAATGTTTAAAGGATTAAGTGCTGTCGATTGTAATATTACAATTTGTTGTATGCATTTATTTTTGTACAAATTAAAGTATATATAGGTTGTTATAACATAACTTGCATAGATTCAATAAAATATTTATTTCTGAAAATATTTTGTTTTAAACATATTCCTGTTTAAACATATTCTTAGTCAAATAAGAAATAAAAACAGCATATTTCAAAACAGCCCAATAATAAAACGTAAAATGACTGACTTAAACTTTTGTCATGTTAATTTGTTTGTTGATTAATTAACAACAATTTATTTATTGGTACTAACTTTAATAAATTTGTTTGTATTTTATTGTTTAGAAATATGTTCTTTTTTACAATATTCATTTGATATAATTATAAAAATCAGTTTCATCATCTGACAGATTTTTATAAATTAACTCACACAACAAATATTATAGTTTAAAAATTGTTGACTGAAGTAATGTTTGAAATCCCATTATAATTTCAAACAAATTACAACAATATTTTTATTATGAATCATGAATTATCATCTAAACAAATGTCACCAACAGCTGTAATGTATTAAAATATTTTGATTTTTTTTTTCAAAAAGTTTACTTTAATATCATACAATAATCATAAAATTTAAACTAGAACTAAAATGAACTAATAAACTAAAATGAATTCAAATTTTAACAACAATTTAACATATCTTATAACAATTAAAATATAACGATAATTAAAATTTAACAAAACTCAACAGTCATTTATTAAAATTTGATCAAATTCAACAATCATTTATGAAAATTTAACAACTCAACAATCATTTATTAAAATTTGATCTAATTCAACAATTATTTATTAAAATTTGACAAAACTCAACAATCATTTTTTAAAATTTCATAAAATTCAACAACTATCTATTAGAAATTGATAAAACTCAATGATTATTTATTAAAATTTGACAAAACTCAACAGTCATTTATTAAAATTTGACAAAAATTCAACCATCATTAATTAAAATTTGACAAAACTATAATTAATTAAATTTTGGCAAAAATTCGACTATCATTAATTAAAATTTGACAAAAAATTAACAATCTCTATACATTCAATATCACAGCCTGCCTTAAATTTTACAACAACTGCTTTTGTTTTAGACTTATTGATAAACAATTTTAAAGAGGTATCACGAACAGTATGCATTTTTTTAGCAACCAATGCACCAAAGTCCCAAAGCTCAAAGTATGAGTAAAATGGTTGGTAGCCGGTGCTTTGAATGACACCTCGTACGACAGCAAAGCGAGACCATAAGAAAGAAAAGCTGATAAAGCCATAGCTCACTCTCAAGCAGCTGACTTGATTATTGTTTTCATCGTACACCCTCACCTCGCCTAAGTCATTACGACAGACAGTGTAGAAAAACTCTCCCGAGCTGGTAAAGTTCATTATTTGACCCTGATACGGAAGGCATTTAACAAAAGTGCCATTGAAGCTATCCCATAATTCTAAAACATCGATATCCGGGTCTATAAAAATTATGTACTTATGTTTACAATGAATATCTTTATATTTAGAATAAGGCAAGGTAAATTTTGTTTTTAGCGTTGAAAGATCAATGCATATCAGCAAAGGATTGCTACCGTTTCTTTTAATGTAAGCCTTTGTCCAAAACAGACCGCATAATTCCGAATCTTCAAAACCTAAAAGAGAAGTTGAGCAATCTTTATCAAAATTATATATAAAAATAGATTGTTCTTGTTTATCCTTTACTGAAGAAGCTATGAAATAATTTTCATTGCAGTAACTTGCAACTGAACGAATTTTATGCTTACCTATCAAAGAAACCCACTCAGAAATATGATCAAATTGAATGTTAAGGTTGATAATGAATCTTGTACTGAGTCTGTACATAGAATCTGAGCCTTTTTTAAAAACATGAAATATGGCCTCTTGAAGGATAATAAGAGTGTGATGATTCAATTGGAAAAAACTAACGACCACTTCATCTATCAATCCACCTGATATCTTTTGATAAAGAACAGGCTGTTCACCATTTATATTCCAAATATACATTACATAATCTAAGTGTTTTTCTTTACTGTACAATATAATTAAGTCCTCATCGTTGAAAGACAGATTGATAAAGGATAAATCGAGAACCCCCGTTTCTCGGTCTATGGAGTCTTTCATGGGCCATTTCCTCCAGTTCCGACAGAGTTGGCAATTTACTAAAAACAATCGCCGCCACTTGCAAAACTCCGCTGAAATACTTTTTGGCAAATGCTTACGGGACCAGTCTTTGGAACAGTCCACGCCAAAAACTTGACAAGTGACCCTTTTCCATATTTTGTCTATGTTCAGTGCTTCGCTCCAATGCTTGCATACCAACGAACAATTGATGATGTCCCGAGGAGGCAGATAAAGAGCGACTTCTTGTATCAGCTCTGGGGGCAAACTGTCCATCCTCGGTTACTGTAGCCACTAAAAAGAATTAAACTTTTTTTTAAACAAACCAAAAAAATATCCAACTACGTTTAAGTTAAAAAAAAAACGTTTTAACAAGTAATTTATTTATATATTATGTGATTTATGCATATTATTTTAATTTCTATAGTATTATAATAATTAAAACATAATAAAGAATAAAGTACCTTCATTGTTTGTAGTCTGTTACTGATAAAGAAATTGCGATATGTGACCGAGAAAAATTAAATCTCGACATATGAGATGGTATATATCGATAAACTTTCATATATTATTATATTACGCAATTAAATTGGATAAAAATAAATTTTCGACTGAGAAAACTTGATTACTTGATGCAACTGCAACTGCGCAAAATGAATATAATAATAATAATGAAAAACCATCTCATAAATTTATTGTGAGAAGGTAATTTTAAATTTTGTTTCTATTTGTATGCCCACACTCCGACACTCCTGCCTACAAAAGTGTAACCTTACAATTTTTGTTGGTTTTGTTTGGGTTTATTTTAACTTTTAAGTTCCATGTTCTTTAAAAATTAGACGGAACGTGTAAAAACATGACATCTAGAATTTTAACGAGAGGAAACTCGTTTTTGCTGACGTTGAGCAGATTTTCTTCTGATTTAAGCACCGCTTTGAAAGGTATTATTTGTTTAATTATTTATTTTAAAAAGTTACATTAGAGTTAAGTTCTGTTTTATAAGTTAAGTTCTTAGAGATCACATGAATCGCATGTCTGACAGCTAAAATGGAAGAAATACTCGGTTTAAACCCTCTTTGCCAAATTAAAACGTGGTTTGTAAAAAGAATAATAAACGAGGAAGAATTTTTGAGGATTAAAACATAAATAGAATGGCAAATAATACGCTCATAGCACCTAGGGTCAACATGAGCAAAATATCTGAACAAAACTTTCGTGCCCACCTACAAACAGTAAAAACTCTGAATACCCACTGGTTTCTTCTAGATGTGGATCCAATGAACAAAACTTTTATAAGTTTGCCTTTGAGGCAGTTTAGGCAAACTTATAAAAAAGTTTTGTTTATTGGACCACATACTTGTTCCATATCTATAATAACTGCTCGTTTGTAACTACATCCCTACCGATTACTTGCTGGTGTGTTCAAAATATAATCTCCAAATTTCTCATTATGGGCCATTGAATGTATAAGTAAAAAAACATTATTTGTGTAAATTTTAACATATTATTTAAAGGCTTTTGAATATTAGAAAATATAATTTGAATAAGCTAATTGAAAGGTAAAAAGTTCCAAACACCTAGACACACTTTTATATTTCAAAGTTTACTCTCTACAGCCTGATTTTTACTTTGTGCAATATTATCTTACAGCAATTACGTTTTGCACAGTACAATATTATAGTAATATGGAAACCACGGTCCACTTGGGAAACCTGAATATTCATTACATCATCTCCCGGTATAAGGAGGTCAGTAATGCTAAAGCCAGACCACATTTAGGCCAGCCAGAAAAATTAAACACCATCCAAAAGTGTGCCGTTCTCAAACAAGTGACCTGAAATTGCAGGTATTTTGTATCAGGATTATATCATTCCAGTTAAAACAAGGCATAATCCCAGAAAGAAACCCTTTATAAGCAAGAAGAACAGGGTAAAGCGCCTCCAGTTTCCTAATGAGCATTGAAGTAAGCATTTTGGGAAACTATTTTCACCTCTGAGAGCAAATTTAATTTCTCAGGGTCTGATGGAAAAAAAAAATTGTGGCGTAAGCCAGGGTAACACTTGAAAGTTAAGAATATGATACTGACATTTAGGTATGTGGGTGGTGGTGGTTGTTGGGGCTGCATGAGCTATAGGGGATGGGATTAGGGACCAATACATCTACGTCGTTCTAAAACAGAATTTAAAGGAAATCACTGTTAAATTTGGTATAGAAAGGACGTTCCGTTTCCAGCCAAACAACAGCCACAAACATCGCTTGGAAAACTCAAGAATGGCTATGCAGTTTAGCTAGGCAGCTGCAGTTCGATTCCATCCCAAGTGTACAATTTAAACCCTAATCATAGTGGAAGGCCGCAAAAAAAGAAGATTAAAAATTTAAAAAATATTTAAAACAAGAGATTTTAGATAAGTGAACATCCCCGGACATGACAAAAACTAGTTCAGTAAACTTTCAATGTAAGACCATTTATTAGCAGTAATAGAAAGTAGGGCTGAGATAAAATTTATATAAGTGTCAGTAAATAAACAAATGTAAAATATTTTGTTGTTAAAATTTATAGTTACAAAATGGTGTTACATTGTGGTGTTAATTAATTTAGCCCATTATTATTTTAATTCAAAAGGTTTGCTTCTATTTCACTGATGTTTTTCGAAAACTTTTTTGTACTGAGCTTACGTTTTTGTATTAAAAAAGAGTGGGAATGAAGGAAAACTTTCCTTTTGTCAAAGAAAGTAGTGTGTATGTATACAAATAGATTTGGCACGCAAGAATTACAGTACAGTATTTTTCAAATGGAAGTTTACACTGTTGAGGGAAATGTTCATTCAATTTAAATCAAGGATTTAAAATATAAAATAAAGATATATTTATCAACCAACATCAGCTCAAGTTTGGCTTTGAATTGCAAAATCAAACTAAATTTGTTCATACAAAACCATATTGCTTTTACTATGTATACTCATGCGAATGAATGAACTCTGTTTAGGCAAGACTGTTTGATCGGTTAACACTCAGTTCTACAGTTTCAAAGGCCCAATATAATCTCTAAACCAGAGGACGAGAATAATGCTTCTCATGGTTGTCTTTAACCAGGGGGAGCTCAGAGTCTCTGGTGGTATACACCATGGTTCTATATCCCACAATAGTATTGGTTCAGTGATCTTGGGCATTAACTCAGTAGACTCCCTGTGGTATGCTCCATTTTTTCATTATAAGATACCGCCATAAGAGAAGGACTCAAATTTATAGAAAGTAAGGCTCCAATGCAAGCATTTGTCATTTCAGACAGTCTCAGTGTCTTAATGGCACTGCAGAGTTCTAACTTTCTCCATGACCCAATCATCCTAGATGTAAAACTACTTCACTACATATACATATCCTTTGATCATGATACAATTATATATCTCATGTGGGTAAAAGCTCATGACATAATCCATCACATTAATGAGGTTGGTTGGTTAGCAAAACGAAGCACTTTTAGGACAGAAAAAGTAATAACCTCACTGGACTTTTGTGCCCTTAATTGAGCCCTCTTGAAAAAAAGTTGCAAATTGAGTACACCTTTCCAAACAAAACAAAGGTAAAAAAAACCAACATTCAACCTTGTATTCAAACTACATCATGGTTTATTAGAATTCATAGCCCATAAGGTTCTATCATGCTTATTCTGTTTTGTGGGTAGGAAAGAATTTTTGAACACTCTTTAAAAAAAGATTCCCCCTCCCGATACTTTCGGCATGACAATTTTATTTTATATAACTAACAATGACATGGACATAAAACTAATAAAACTTAATCTGAACAACATTTACATGTAAATATTTATTTTTATCCTCATTCTCCCTAAAATGCCTGAAAACAAAAACTCCTCTGGACGCCTGTGCTAGGTTGGGTGCCGGTGGTGGTGGAGGGACCAGAACCATTTCCCAGGTCTAAGAGGGCTGGCCGGTGAGCAAAGCAAAAAAAAAAACTTACAGGATATGATACAAAACACCTCCCTCCACTGGGTATTAGCACACGTGGAAATTAAGTCATATTAATAAGTACCTTGCAAGCTGACACAACCCAAACCTTTGTCTATGATAGAAGATATTAAAGAAATTTTTAGAATAGAAGATAATGTGAGAATTCAAGCATCAAATTATCTTACAACACATTTTTTGTGTGTGTATCTTGCGTGTGATTAATTTTGCTTCTGGTCTGAAGGGTACAAATGCGACACCTGCCCTTACAAGTTGTCAGTTATTTTGTTACCAAGATAATAAATAGATATGATATAAAAAGATTGAAGGTAAAAAATTGTTTGAATGGTGGTTTCACTTTCAGACTATATTTTATAACATTAAAATGTTTGTAAGAATTTGCTGAGGTCAACATAGGCTTCAGACGTAAAGCAAAGAAGTGAATTGTTTTAGTTTTTTTTTCTCTATGTACATATACTTCTGATCATCGTCACACTCTGATGAATTATTAACACATTGTCATTCTCAACAAACTTAATAATATGTTCGAGTACTAATACTATATGTATCAATAATAACTGGCGAAAGATTTATTCATTATGAAGGGAGACCAGAGTCATTTTCTTAGCGTGAGTGGGTATTGTTAGTGAGTCTGTAAATATTGAAGATTTTTAACAAACCACTTGTGGAATGGTAGGAACGAGCAACAAGACACTCCTCTGGTTGGTAGGAAACAAAATTAAAAGAGACATAGTGAATGAGATAGAGATAAAGTTGAAACAAAGAAAAATGCGAGAAACTTATATGCGTGAGGTGCCGGCAATGAGCCTAGTAGTTAGCTGGTCGAAAAATAAAAATAGAATAAATAATAATATGAATGCTGTTCAATTTTCTAATAAATACATCTGTGGTGTATTTAACATGTATAAAGTGGACAGTTGAAAATGATGGTTTTACTCACTCCATACACTCTGCATGGAAACATATTTGCAGATACTAATGCTGAGCATTAACTGCTCAAAATTTGGAACAATCAAAACAAGTTTGTGAGGTGCTTTTTAACTATTGAATGATACTCTTATCCATTTAATTTATGTATGAAGTGGCTCTCATATTGAACTTCAATTTGGGAAAAAAACTGTCAGAGTGAAAATTGATTTAGGCAATGAATAAGTACAAGAAAAGGAAATATTTATTCATTGGCATTTAATCTAATTATTTTTACTTTTCATAATTCTTTTGTTTAGTACAAGGCAATGGTCAAACTAAACAATCAAAACTGACTATTTTTTTAATGTTGTACAAAATGTATTAATTAATTTAAGGCAATTTTTTTTATTTCAGAGTCGACTGATCTTGTCCACGTAAACCAGTTACCTCCAAGGCACTTGCCGTTTCTCAACCGTTATGAGCCTCCAAGACAAGCGTGGGTCGAAAACCTAGATACGATAGAAGAAGTGAAAAAGTCAATTATTGACCTACACCCGGATGTGTTCGGCGTAATGCCAAGAATAGACGTGATACAGGAAAATGTCAAATGGCAAAGAAATTATAAGCGTGTTGTAAGTTTTTTCTGTTCATTCCATGTCCTGTTGTTGAATCATTTTGTGTTTAGAGTATTGCAAATACAAAAATCCGTAATGAAGTACGAGGCGGTGGTAGGAAGCCTTGGCCTCAGAAAGGCCTCGGTCGGGCGAGACACGGAAGCATTCGTTCACCCCTCTTTAAAGGAGGAGGGATTATTCATGGACCGAGATCCCCGACATCTTATTTCTCCATGCTGCCTTTCTTTAAAAGAATTCTAGGTCTTACTTCTACACTATCCATTAAACTTGCACAGGTAAATTAAAGTCAATTTTAAACAAGCAGAAAACTTTTAGTAAAAAATACACCCATTAGTTTAAATTTACTAATGTTCATTGTATATCCAGCTTTATTATATTTGTGCAAATAATTTAACCATTTTTGTTTACATAAGGATGACTTGCATGTTGTTGAAAATATTGAATTGCCGACCGATGATCCACAGTATTTAGAAGATCTTGTCAGAACTAGGAATTGGGGTGTTTCTGTTCTTTTTGTAGACGAGTGAGTTCAAAAATAATTGTTAATTAATAATCAATAATTAATTAGTTAATCAATGTATTTATTTTGCTTTAGGAATGATCACATGCCTAAAAATATTACAGCAGCAACAGATAAAATAAAACACATGAATATCATGCCTGTTTATGGTGAGTTGTAAAAAGCTCCAGCCTAGATTGCCTCAACTGAACGACATTTATTTCAGGTTTAAATGTTTATAGCATGCTTAAGCATGAAACTCTTGTGTTAACCCTTGATGCCGTCAACAGAATTGAGGAGAGAATATTATATCAACTAAACAGGCCAGATTACAACGAGAAAAATAAAAAATTCCGTTCAGGCCAGTAATGAAGAATATCACTTGTATATATTATTTGTAGATTCTTTTTAGTGGTTGTTACAATAAAATATAAACATACAATTTGTATTATTGTGGTCCTTAAATAAAAGTAAGTTGATTGGGGATAAATTTTTCATGTGAATCAAGACATTTCTTGTTGAGTGATTGGTGATTACCTGTAGTTTGGACGTTTCTGATGATCCTGGACTTCAAATTTTTGCTGTTTTGATATGTCAATCACGTTTCAGCATTTCAACTTTTTCAGTAATAATCTACTGTTTCAGCTTAATCCAATATGGCCTAAATAACATTTAATTACAGTAAAAATTAGAAAATTTATAACATGAATGAGCTTCTAGGAAAATATTCTGATAATTCCAAATGTGTACTTGTGTAAGGCGGTAAGTTTATTAAGGCACAAAAATGCATTCAGGTTCACTAGACAATCCACAAACATAGAATCCATGCTTTGGCTAATTGAAAATTTTACTGAGTATATAACCAAGTGGTGTTTTTCAAATTGGTACATATTGTTATGTTATTTCATCACAAGAAAAAAATAGTAAATATGTAATATTCAAAAATTTAAAGTTTATTGTTTTATTGATTATATATTGTTCTTTATCTAATATTGTTTTTAAATATTTTTGATTTGATTTTCACGTTTATCACTATTATTATTAACTAATTATATAGCATTTATATAAGCTCAAATCTTTGTCTGTGTACAGAGTTGAGCCTATCACTTCTTCCAGCTTTTGTAATTTATAAAATTACCGGTAGGCCTCAAGAATTATCCCTTGGCAGTCCAGGGTCAGATATAAGTATTATCTGTCCAGCAACCGAGGTTGGGCTCCAGGGGCTATTAACATTTACTTCATTATCAGCCCCTAACATAATCAGTTCCTAAAAACAAACTCATTCACACTACACTCATTCTTAAATACATTATTTTTTTATTTATATACCATTCATTCAGAATGGAGGATTACTTGATACTCCATCACCCTTTTCACTTATTATATAACTGAGTTTATGGGGTACTCAATATTCTACTATCGACCCTCTCATACTAGACATTCATGTTAATAAATACATTCACTCTCAAGACACTAGGTTATACAACAATATCAACACTACATATCATTTTAATTAATTATACTTTTAATCTAAGGTCTTGGTTGAGATGAAAAAGTAAGTGCCATGAGCGGGATTCGAACCCATGACCTTTGGCTAACACACCATTGTTCTAACCACTTGCGTTATTGTGACTTCGATTTACTTGGACACCAATTCCTCATCTCTGTTCATAGCCAAAGGTCGAGGTTCAAATCCTGCTGTTGACACTTTCTATTTTATCTCAACCAAGATCTCAGATTAAAAGTATAATTAATCAAAATAATTAATACGGTCAATTATGACAACTGAATACATATATGAACTAAATAATATCATAAAACAACCATTCCTCCAAGAATCAGAACAGGGGACTCAAATAGTGCTGCCATGTTTCTACACACTCTCTATAAGGAGCCAAAATATTACAACCTTCAATTAGGTGGGACACATCAAGCCGGTACTTGGACTTTGGTCCAAATGTAAGTGTCCATGTGTCAACCTCGCATGGCCTATCATTAATCATGAGATGACTTCTACTACGGGTCAGATCCTCATGATTTTTTATTAGATTTTTAGTATCAGACGGCTGGATTTGCCAAAGTGATTAAGTCTGGAGGTTGGGCATCTCAGTCTTATCTGCCTCATCCGTTTTTTTGTTACACTCCAGACTTATTGTCTGGGCAACCTGACAACAACTGTCATTTTGCCGGGACGCTCCAGTTTTTGGTGTTTCTCCAACTATTATTATTAAAAAATTTAACTTCCCGATGTTTATTTTTTAAAATTTAGAATGATAAAATATTCGGTATGTAGTACACAATTCCATCATCCACCATCTTCATGAGAATCAAACAATTAATCCATGTTGAATGTCGTTATATTGCTAATATCAAGAAATCTATCAATACTGCTGACAGTAAAGAGAAAAAGGACAATGATCATTGGTTTTATTTATTTAAGAGGTCTAATTAAGTTTAAATAGATACATAAATATTCATTCATTCATCTGGCCCACTGGAACATGTTTTGTTCAGATCAGAATTATGCTAATAGATAAAATATTTTGGTTAGAATTAAAGTTTGGCTCTAAACGGGTATTCATGTCCATAAGTTTTCTCTAGTATGTAGGAGGGTAGAAAACTCTCTGGTACTATTTGACTGTAGTGCAAGTTTTGTCTGGGAATGAATTTAGGCTATGTAGGCAGCTTTTGTCTTGTTTTTTCTGAGGTATGTAGAATCAGGAGGATCGAGGAGGAACTCTTAAGAATTTTTCTCTAAACATAAGAAGAATCTTCATTATTATGGATTATTTCATCCGGGTCATTTTGTTGTCGTCCCACTGGCAATGTCTGTAAAGTGGTCAGTTGCCGTATGTTCTTATAGTTATGGTTAGGGATGGTTGTGTCCTCATCAATGAAGCAACCCTTCACAAGAAACTATTTTGAATTCGCTTTAATGATATTGAATGATAAACCGGAGATCAATGTACACAAATGGGCCAAACAAAGAATACAGAAAATGAAAAATATTTATGTTCCTGAAGTCTTTAATTTTTCAAAATAAATTAAAAAATTGAAGCTTTATTAGTAATGTATGTTGTGAGGTAAATGATAGTTCATTATCAGATACGACTCACAAAACTCTAACTAAAGAAGTTCTTTCTATGGTATTTTTTTAAAGACTATATGAGAAAATGATAGTATTAGCTGTTCTTTAGAAAGAGATGGTGCATTTTATTTATCCTAAAATATTGTTTATTTTAATTATACGAAGATTGCAGTTGATCTAGATTATATTCATGTAATATTCATACATTATACATTCATCGTAACACTGGTTATTGTGAAATATTTTCAGGTCATCAACAAACCCGAGAAATTGAATACCATTAAACATTTATATACATAAATAGCTAAGGCCCAGTATGCCAAGTCCTTGGGTTCGATTTCCACCGACACCCCTGGCGTTTTTTTCACACCCTCAACTATGTATAATGAAATAATTAACGAAATATACACTGGGTAATATGAAGGTCATAAGGCCATTAAACCATTAAAAAAAGGCCCAATATGGTATCCTTGTGGAACCCCAAGTGTAGCAGAAATAGGGCCCATTTAGCTATTTCAGTTCTACAAGGTAGCCAGTATAAAAGAATCGAGACCATTTACAGTTTAAATTTTGAAAGGAGGATTAAATGGCAGACTACCAAAGTCTGTATGCATAATCCACCTGCATTTGTTCATCCATTGAGCAAGTATGTAATTCTGAAATGATAATAAATTGGTACAAGTTGATTGGACTGGTATAAAACTTCTGGAATGATTATAGGTAATAGAGGATATAATTTTGTATAAAATATAGATTACTATTAATTTAAATTACTATCAATTTTTTAGGAACAAGGATGTTTAGCTAGATCAAATTGTCAAATCATTTCTTATGACCAAAGAGCAAAATCAATAATGCTTGGGCAATTTTATTCTCATTATTGGCTATATGTATTGGTATAATTTGGAAGAGTGGAGGTGAAAAATAGAAGCGATTGGTCGTCCAAAAATGCTCGGTGAATTGTTTGAACACTCGCTCAAATTCTTTGGTCTTTTCCTTTACCGCGGGTCGAGCGGGAAAAAAGTCGGTTACAAACCGTGCCATGTCTTCGGCACGATGGCCGTTATAGCAGCAGTTGGTGCGGTCATCATTTTTGATACCATCTACGAGAACGTCAATTCGGTTTTTAAAAAGAATGTGGTGCACTTTTACTCCAACATACTGGAAAGCTTATCCACAGCGATCTTCTATACGGTGTGCGCGTCCAAGACGGTCGTCGTTCAAAACAAATTATTCCGAATCAGGGCGATTTTGGACAAAGTGGAAAGAAACCTTCAAATCAAAACCCCCGGGATCATGAAGAAAAATCATGCCGTTTTTCTGATTCTTTTTCACTTCCTGTGGTTACTTTTGGCACTCTTCGAAGTTTCAATAAGAATTACGAAGTACGGGACGTTTCTGTTTATTCATCTGTTCAAGCAATACGCCCAAATGTACCTGAGTTTATGCGCTTTCACTTTCGTACTCTTGGTCCTCCAAATTTTTACATTATTTCGTTCGTTGAATAACAAGTTAAATAATATTTTAAAACAAAGCAATAACAAAAGGAAAACAGGTAAGCCGCTCCACAATCAATAATTTATGATTTAATTTTATTTTGACAATTATACATTTGCAGGACTTTTAACAGCCGAAACAAGTTCAATACATATATATTATGAGATGTTACATCAAAACTTAGGCGGTTAATGTTGTTAATTCTATAATACGCATTTATTGAACTTGTAGATGATCTTAGCCGATCATCACGGTATGGACTGTTCTGCTGGTCTGGTCTATCAGGCACTTTTAGGCTTTCCATCCAGTGGTAGTTCTGTTCTTTTGTGTTGAAATGTGATGGGGTGGGTATCGTTGTCATTGTTTTGACGTATTTAACAGTATGGGATTTTTATTTTTTTTTTATTTTTTTGTTCCAGTCGGTTATTAATGTACTTAGTTACTTATTTATGTACTTACTTAACTTAGTGTTTTGAGTGAATGTATGTTATGTAGTTTATAGATCAGAACAATAGGAGACCAGTCTGTTAATCATTTAACCCATTAGAGTTAGACAAACCGTTCATTTATTCTAAATAAGAGTAAACATTTAATCACTGTGGAGAAAATTCCATATAGACATCATAAGGTTTTTTTATTTTCATCAGCCCGTTGCGCAAATATTTCAAAATACCTATTAGTAATACGATCCGCGTAAAGAGAATTTACTGTCTGCCACCTCTTCTTTCGGACTGTTACGAGATCGCACAGAATTACCGATGTCATCCCGAGGAGGAGACCGTACTTCAAGCGTCGAAAGGTCATCTGCTGTTCTTCATCTTCTCCGCACGATGGGGTATGCTAACCACAAGTCAGATGTAGGTCAAAGCCAGGGCCGTGACAAGTGGAGGAGGGGATTCAGAAACGGCCAGAAAGTATAAAAAATATTCACATGGGTCAATGCCAAATAAGTTTACATAAACATCAAAGAGGAAGGGGTTTCAGGGGAATAATTAGCTATGTTTTCCTATAATTCAAACGCTAAGATTTTTATTGGTTCACGTACACGTTTTGGGTGTTAAAATGAACTTATTTTTTATCAAACAATAACTTTTTTTATGTTTATTTTAGATAAATTATCGGCGAATCAACAAGAATCGACTTTGGACACGCTCAGCAATTCCCATTGGGATTTGTGCGAGGCGATGACAAAATTGGGCGAAGCGTTTGGACTGCAGCTGCTTCTCATCATATCCTACGTCTATATAAAATGCATAACGAGCCCTTTCAAATTTCTCGTATCGATATTCTTCCCACAAACCGATGCACAAACATTTTTTCTGGTCTATTTTTGGTGGCTATTTCTCTACTTCTCAATAGCGGTTGTTGTGTTCAAAGTCTGTACTGACACAACCATCGAGGTGAGCGGAACAGAATACTTTTAACGTTCTATTAACGACTAATCTACTATAAAACACGCCTACAAAAACATTGTAGGCTAGAAAAACGAACGTAATCGTCTGGGACAACGTTCATGAGCATCACAACCTGTCTATAGCTGAAAAAGTAAGATTTTACGATTCTGTACAAAATGGCCGGCTTAATGGCTTTTATTTTCAGCTCAAGACGTTTTCTGCCAAGATGAACCACAATAATTACAAATTTACCGCTTGCGGGTTTTTCGTTTTAGAACTAAGCACCCTATCTTCAGTCAGTACCTTCCGAACGAAGTGCCAAAATAATAACATTTGTTCTTTCAGTAATCTACATTTATTTTTCAGATGCTTCTTTCAGTAACAACACAGCTTTTCATATTGTTTTCTATCATCAGACAAGGTTAAACAGGACAAAATAACATACTATTCTATTGTCGTGTTTTACACTAGTTTGTTCATACGACGAGATTCACCGAAATTCCTTTGTCATGCTAATTACTTCTCATTAATTAAACAAAGTTAAGTTTAAAATAAAATAAATTTATTATTCAAGACGAACTAACACCAAAGAAAACTATATCCATTCCTCCTATATTTTCTGTTGAAGAAAAGGATATTAGGTAATAGAATCTTCGAGATGGCTACTTGGGAATAAATAAGCTTATTTTAGGGATGGTTAGGTTGCCAAACCCCATCATCTACTATAAGCTTATTTTTGTTCAAGTATTATTATTATACGTCACAAGTATCCGCTATTCAATGAATTTAACAATACTTCCCGTCGTAGACATATTTATTTGAATTTCATGTAGAACTATAATATTTATGAAATAACTGAAGCAAAGACGTCCGAAACACGTGTCAAAGTTCAAGGGTAAAACCAGGACGCTCAGAGATTTTCCTTTCGTCATTATTAATGTCAGTAGTTTTTAAATAATTAATATACTTTTATCTAAAGTTACCTAACGTTTAAATTATTATTTTACGTTTAGATATGCTCATATGCAATTATGTTAATATGGTTATAGGAAGGTGTTTTTCATTTTTCATTTAGTGCATTGTTCAAAAAATAATTCAAAAAGTATTTCGAATGAACAATTGTTCGTTTAATAATTTTAACTATTGGTTAAGAAATTAGGATCAGCAATGGAAACCTTACTCGACTTTCCCCTTTACATATTTATGTACAAAAAGTGGCTTTGTGCCAACAGACTCCTGAGATACAAGGAAATAAAGCATATCTAAGGAGAAGCCATCACAAAAGTCTGGAGGGAATTAAAATAAATAGTTGGATGTAACGGTATCTGACAAAATGAGAGATAACTCAAATTTCATAGACCCTCAAGTGGTCACATATGGTATGCATTGAAGAAGGAAGATGGGTAAAAGGGCCGATCTAAACCTTTGACTATCCTAATAAATTTCTAAGCTGAGGTCCATGCAATACAGCTCTGTACAGCGGTAGTTAATAAAGAAAAATTTGAAAGGTGCACATTTACATAAGCTCAGACAGCCTGGCAGCGTTAAAGTCACTAAATGCCTAAGCTTTCAACTCCAAACTTGTCTGGGAATACCTAACGGGTCTATGCACAAGATTACCTTAATCCTGGGGTTATGGGACATGAAAGATACAGAAGGAAATGAACAGGCTGTCCAACTAGCAAAAAGGGGTAGCCCTCTCACCCATGAGATCAGATCCACAACTAGTGGTGCATCTGTTGGCCTGGACAAATGGCTTGAGAAAGAAAAACTCAAGCACTGGACAAAAAGACCAGGTAAGAGGCAAGCTAATAGATTTATACATCTCTCAAGAAGGAAGGCGAAGAAACTCCTTTCCCTCAGCAGGCAGGATTTGAGGAAAATATGTGCATACACTTAACTACCATCATGATGGAGAAAGCAGAAACATGCCGACTTTGTCAGGAAGAACCAGAGACATCGGCACATATCCTTTGTGAATGTGAAGCATTAGCCCAGTTAAGTATAGCCGCTTTGTTAAGGCAATTCTCACAACAAAAGAGTTGTGCGAAGAGGCACCGAGGAAAGTGGAAAAACTGGACTTTCCTAAGTATAGACATAAGTTATAAGTGTTCCTCATTAGGTTAAGTTGGAACTGGGAAAACAAACATGGGCTGGTCAAGATGAGTTTGTACTTGCTTGAAACTTTTGGTCGTGAGATCAAAGAATTAATCTAATTCAAGAATGTTTGAGCTTTTGAGATAACAGGCATCTGAGAAAAATGCACCGACAAAAATACAGAGTCATCTGCATACAGAAATATCTTGTCCGCACTAATTGCTTTATTCATTTCATTTACATAAATGTTGAACAAAAGAGGTCCTAGAACACTACCCTAAAGGACTCCACTATTAATTCTAACGAGATCAATGAACTGATCGATAATTTTTGCCGTACCTTGTCTACTAGTTAAATTAGCTCTGAAAAGTGGTAAAGGTTTTTTCACAGGAATTAGCCTTTTTTAAGCATCCCAGCAACTTATAATGGTCAATAGTATCAAATTCCATACTATAATTTTCAAAGATACGTATAATAAAGCAGTTTTGTTCTAGTGGTTATTTAAGTTGTCACAGAAGCTCCAATAGTAAAATGCCCGTACCTGTAACTTAGGGATGGTGATGAAATGAGATGAATGGAAACCACATTGACCTGGATCACATAATTATTGATGATGCTTGGTGTTATTTTTTGTTTTGTGTATATTTGTATTAGCATGATTTCAGAATGAATTGAAATTGTCCTGTACTTGTTTTATGTCGTCTATGTCCTTTCTTATAGGTGGGTTTTATTATTGAAATTTTTAAAATGCGTGCGTAAATTCCCGTTTTAATTATTGAGTTGATTAACTACTCTGATTGAAGATAGGGCTGAGTCATGGTTTTGATATCCACAGATCCGATGCTATCAAATCTTGAAGATATTTTTGGGTCAATGTCACATATAATGTTCTCAATATAGCGTCAGCGAGGGTTTGGTTGCGATTGCAAAACATATGAGCAAAATCATTAGCGAGTTGTATAATTTTTTTCCGAAATATGTCAAAATTGATGTGCTGATTCTATTTTTGAATTCTTATACATAACGTCAATGGCTCTCCAGGTAGTCTTTGGGCCATTATTGGCTTTGAGAATGATATTATGTTATTATTTTCTTTTTTAGTTTTTATTGCTATTTTAAACCAATTTTCTGGAGTTATTATATCGTGATTTAAGAAAGTATCCCAGGATATGACTATTTTTTTCAATAATTTATCTCTATTTGTAACAAGTGATTTTATTTCGTCAGTAATCCAAGATTTGTTGACCTCGTCTCTTTTATAATTGTAGGGTAATTTTTTTATATGCTCCTTTGCCTTGGGGAAGATCTTCAGGTCCCGATTTTTCAGCCGCAATTTGACATTGAGAGTCTATCGAACTACTTAAGGCTCTGAAAGATGGATGAATATTTTTTTAGGAGTTTCGAAAGAAGTGTTCCGGAATATCTTTAGCGGAGTTTGAATGGATTGTCACTTGCAAATCCGTACAAATTGGGAGTTGAAAGTGGCCACATCGAAAGCACGCCAGAGGACAGGACTGCAAAGAAATTTTACTAGGGTAAGCTAGGTGGTTGACGGCTGCGAGTAAGACCTAGAAAAAGACGGGAGGACGACCTCAGAATGATGCAGATTGGTCGACGGAGGAGACACGCGGAGGACAAACGATACTGGGCCAGAATTGTGGAGGAGAACAGAGCCTTCCAAGGACTGAAGGTTCGAGGAGGAGTTTTCTCTTCTATTAGGATTCTTTTCTACTGTTTAATGTTGTTACATTAATTAGTATGTCTTGTAAGTTAAAGATTTTTCGCTTTTGTAAACTTTATCAACTTTACACCTTATTCTTTATACTGACGTCATTTTACAGTGTTATAATAATTATGTAGCATGTGTCTGTGGTGACGTCTATGTTTCACAGCTGCTACAACCTGAAGTTGATCTTCCTCGTTGCCCAAAAAGTTGGTCCACTGCTTCAGTTGATCAGTGCTCCCTGATGTCTCTGCGTCGGTCCTTCCTCGATGGGGTAGAGAAATCCTTCCTGTTTTCCACGTTTCGTATACGCGTATACGTTTTTAAGAAGTCGCCTACTTGTGCTTTTACGTTTTCAATAATATATGTATTTTTATTGTTATATGAATTTCAACATACTTATGTTAATGAAAGCCAAATTAAGCGAGATCAAAAATTCATGAGTTGTAATAAAAAATATTTAATTATGAAGGTTTGAAAAAACAGTCACCAGAAAACCCGGTCAATCATTTACTGATAGATTAAAATTTAACTAACGATTGAATTTTGTTCTGTAAAGGCGTCCGCTGGCTAAAAAATTGAGAAGTCCTGACTTATAAACAGTACTTTTACAGTAAGTATGTACGGAACTTTTTTCTTCTTACTTTTATTTATAATTATTCAGAAATCGTGAGATGCAAATTATGTATGATATAGCCTTATACAAAAATGTCTTTTCTATACCGACTTTCTTCCCCACCCCTTCAAAATCCAACGTATATAAACATAAAACAGAAAAATCGCACTGACACTCTCAACACGATACGCAAGAATGGCACAATTACACAGAAGACAAACACTTTGAGTGAGTAGAAATACTTTGATTGAATATATAAAAAAAATATATTTTGCATTGTATAAATTCACTTTTCCACATCCTAAATGTATTGTTAAATGTAAACAATGTTTGTAAATCCCAGGCCCTGAAGATGATCTCAATAAAGATCGAAACGTTGGCACGATAAAGAAAATGTTTTTCTGAAATCTACATCACACCAGACCGCATCTCACGATTTCTGAATAATTATCGATTAACGGTCACTAATCACACACTTTTATTTATTTTATTATTATAATTATTACTTTTAGATGATATTTATTTCTTTGTGGCCGTTCCAATTTAGTCCGTATTTTGAAGTACATTAACGGCGAGCAATTCCTGCACTATGTCTCAGAACTTGGAAATTCTATGATACGTTTATACAAATGTATGATAAATTTTGAGGAAAAAAACGAGATGAAATTTGATTCGAAAAATCTAGGCGCGGAGAACTCACCCGGACCCCATTATCTCCCGAATTACTAATTTCTGATAATTCTTAGTTAAAAGGTTGATCTGCCTCTTGCTGAGTCGTCGGCTGATAGTCAGTTTCGACTAATTGCTGCTGCCGTGAACGGGCCACGAAACACGTAGGCTCTTCTCTGAACCCGGAGGTGTGGAGGGTTTCCCTGGCAGAACTTTCTCTTCGCTTTTTAAGTTGAATTTTGGTTCTGTTATCATTGGAAAAACCATAACTTGTATTGACATCGTCCTTACTTTGAGGAGAAGGTGAGTGAAAATTTCATTCTACCTGCCTTTCCGGAACAATGACATAAAAATAATTAGAGATGACCCGTCTTCTTTTTTATCAGTTTATA